TTCCACAATCACCACAAAATATCGTAAATATCTTCTTTAGTCATGGAAACATCATCACTGTCTTCTGCGGTCTCAGCAAAATCTTCTCAGCAAAATCTTGAATACTGCTCGTTGGTAACAGAAAAATGATTATCGTCTCCCTTCTCACCCGCGTTTGAGGAACAAAAAAGTTATTTTCCATGGCTCGATCTTTGCAAATGCTTTTGGTATCGGTATCGACTTTTGACAAGCGATTTTCGATACCAATACCTAATATCCAAGTATTGATCGTATTGAGAATCGACACATCCCTAGCTACAGTAAAACACCAGCTAACTAGAAAAAAGAGGGGGAGGTGATTTTGGATAACCTATTTATTCTGTTTGGTTCTTTTATGGTTGATGGTAATTATGGTTCTATAGAGGTGATTGCAAGATAAAAGGATATTTAAGTTCTAAGAGATTTAAAACAGTTGTTTTTTAATTACTTAAATCAAAATCTTTACCTGTATACACAAAATCTGTTTCATAAAATAATATACGATAGATTTTAGCAAATTAACCCATAGCTATTACCGTTGGTGGCACAGTAAGTCCTTAGCGTGGGCTGGACTTACTTTTTTTCATTTTGTGTCCCCAGAGTCTAAAAACACTATTCGTTCCAATTGTTGTATATCAAAATCAGAATCAAAAATGTCTTCAATCGACCTTATCACTAGTTTAGAGTTTGCCTACTTCACTACTACTTGGTTTGTAAGGTCGGTAAGGTGATAGTTTACGTCCTCACAGTGTTATACCTCATTCAGTTTTCCCAACAGCTAAACAGGGTTAGTTTTAATTGTCCCCCCCCCCCCAACTTTTTTCTACATTTTTTCAAATATCAATCCTAGACCACTTCCAAACATTGTTGGGTAGTAAGTAATTCATTTTGACAAGGTGGTCATTTCCGGCCGCCATCTTGGATCCGCCATATTGGATGCAAAATATTTTTTCAAGTGTAAAGGTGGGGTTGTGACCCATTATTTCGAACTAGATTTTTACCCTGATTACAATGCCGCAAACCGTTTTTAAATATCTTGATTCATTCTAAAGTTATGAGGCCTTTTTAAAACTTTATTTTTAGCCCATTTTAACATTGTGCATTTACAAACTAAGACCATAATCTCAAAATAGTGCTAGATAAAGATAAGTATACACTACCAGTTATTGTAAACCTATTTTCACTTATTTATGACTGATGTATTTTTTTCGGCCGCCACCTTGGATCCGCCATTTTGAAATGGGATAAATTATTTTAAATATGAAGGGTGTGTTGTGACCCATCATTTTGAACTACTTTTATAAGCTAAACTCAATGCCGCAATCCATTTTTTGTTTTCAACAGGTACAAGTTTTATTTATGAAATATTGCAATATTTTTGTTAAAAATGTTAATATTTCATTCAAAATCAAAATATGAAAATGAAAAATGGATCATGGAATTGAGTTTAGCTTAAAAAAGTAATCCGAAATGATGAGTCACAACACCCCTTTTATATTTAAAATAATTTATCACATTTCTAAATGGCGGATCCAAGATGGCGGCCGAAAAAAATACATCATTCATAACCAAGTGGAAATAGGTTGGCAATGACTGTTAGTGTATACTTATCTTTATCTAGCACTATTTTGAGATTATGGTCTTAATTTGTAAATGCACAATGTTAAAATGGGCTAAAAATAAAGTTTTAAAAAGTCCTCATAACTTTGGTATGAATCAAGATTTTTTTAAACGGTTTGCGGCATTGTAATCAGGGTAAAAATCTAGTTCGGAATAATGGGTCACAACCCCACCTTTACATTTGAAAAAAAAATATTTTGCATTCAATATGGTGGATCCAAGATGGCGGCCGGAAATGACCACCTTGTCAAAATGAAGTACTTACTACCCAACAATGTTTGGAAGTGGTCTGGGATTGATATTTGAAAAAGTTGAGGAGGGGGACAATTAAAACTCACCCTGTATATACTAATGAATTTTATTGAAACATAACCCTTGTTTTGTATAAAGTAAAATCTGTTGTTCGTTTCTACATGCATCAACATTAGGGGTGTGCGATGCATCGAAAATGCATCGAAATTTCGATTCGATTCGATTCGATGCATCGAATCGCGATTCGATTCAGTGGTGGTCAAAAAACGATTCGATTCACGAGGGAGTCAGTATCCATATACGAAAAACGCCTGCAGAAAGTCAATGCAATACCCGCAATACAGGAGCGCGTTGCTGTTGCGACGAAGGCGTTCTTATTTAATACATTCTTTGCATTAAATATAGCTTTAATTGTTTTATATTTTTTTTTTTGACATTGCAAATGATTAGAGGTTTGTTTTTTGTCTTGATGTAAGCAGTGTGTGAAATATTTTACTACTGTGAACCTAGCCAAAACAAGGTAGGTTACTCCAAAATCATTTTAAAAATAAGTCTGAAAAATTGTTACTTAATACTTAACTAGTAAGATTAATGTTATAGACTGATTCATTTGGTATTTTTGTTAGGTGTCTGCCGGTCCCCGTCCCTGAATTTTTGTTGGGGCAAAAGAAAAAAAAAGAATAATTTATTTCCAAAGAAACACTCTTATATTATTATATCTATTATAACAGAGGAATTAAAATGTTCAAATGAGAATTAAAAATTAAGTTGGCTCACGACCTTTAAGAATAAAGACACAACAGAGCAATTGCCGCACTGCCACTAGCCAGAGCCAGGTCTAGTCGTCTACTGATAAGAGTAACAAGACAAAAGCCGTGACGCAACACTAACAGTGCAAAGAAAACAAAGTCAAAAGAATAGAAAGACTATTTATCCAGACATACTAGTATAATCATTTATTGTTTATTCAATACCTAATTAAAAATATATTTTATTATTTTACATAATAAATTATAAACAAAAGAAATATCTGATATAGTGAACAGATCTGTATCTTGGTTGGATGGGGTTAAAAAAAATATATTTCTAAGATCCAATACAATATTTACAACTCACAAATTACATTGAATTAATTTCTTTGAAAATAATCTCTAACAGTTTTGTGTTTTTGAATAAAGAAATATATTTCTTTGTCTCTACTCCCTTGTTTCATCACTTGCATTTTGTCAGCAATTGAAGCAACTGGGTAGCAACCGGGTGGTGTAAGAGGGGAGGGGGAGGGTCTATGACCTTGAATTCACACATCGTTGCCCGGGCCTGGCTGGTGAGACTAATTCATTGTTTTTGTTGACATACTACTACCCTTCCTTAACACGTTCGCTGCTACGGACGTTCCGGAACGTCAGCCGGGCCACGGCGCCAGGAGCTAAGAACGTTCCAGAACGTCACCGTTCATTGTTGTTTAACGTTGCTATGGATAAGCCAGCACGTCACAAGCGTTCTATATTTCTTTGCAGCTCGTGGGGACGTACTTTTCTGACAATAAAAAATATAGTTTCCCAAATCACCACCAGGATCGTTTGGAACAGGGCTTTGTTTTACCTCTTTCCTGCTAGATTGCGACACTACTTTACCGACTGTAACCTGGGTAGTGCTGCTATCTATCAGAATCACTTAGTACTATATCCAAAGCCAGTTTTATTGCAGAACATTGCCATCCAGTATAACTACTGTTGTTTTTATTGTAATTCAGTGTATCGGTGGCAATGTCACGCAGCGGCCGAGCGTTAGTTCAGCAACTGGCGCCGTCCCGGCATCTAGCACTCAGCAGCGAACGTGTTAAGAGAAAAAGGCCCTGCTGTTCCAAAAACATTGAGGGTAGTTTAAAAACATTGACCTGTGTTGCCAAGGGCACTAGGCTAGAAGATAGCATTTAACTTTCTTGTCTCTTGATTTCATATTATTTTAATCTTCTATATATTATTTAAGAGTTACTTTTCGGGTACCTAATTAGTTGTGATATTGTTTGGCTTTATTTTATGGATTTTTAATTCTTTTCATTCATTAGCTATCAAAATCAGTTGTTTTAGGATTTTAATCTCTTGCAGTAGGTCTATACTACTGTATGACATGATATGCATTTTTTAGTCCTTATTAATTATACCATAAACAATGTTTGTATGTTATTTACTGTTTTTGAGTTTTATAGGAAATTAGTTTACACAATATCTTTTCTTCAATGAGTTCTCCACTTGACATGTTGCTTCTAGCCTATTACTATTTTAGGCCCTATAAAAATAATGCCTAGGTAAAGCTGTAGGCCTACTGATGCCAATAATAATTCTTTATTTATGATGATGTAACAAATAATGTAAGTGTGAGGTTATTATACTAAGGAGGTTAGGAGGCAGGGAATGAATGATACATATTGCATGGTGGAAACATATTATTTTTATTTTCTTCTTGCTTGCAGTCCTGAAGCCGGTCCACAGGCCCTAAACTTGTGATATGTAAATTTATTTCTTAATGGTCTTTTTATATTAAGTTCCATTCAAATTTGTTGTAATTTAGCTACCGGCACCTATTTAGTTATTTAAACAGTTATTAAAATGAGAATGAATGTCTTGTTAAAAAAAATATTTTCTTCTTTCTTGCAGTTGAGCCAATTCAAGTAAAAATTATGAAATAGGCAAGTAAAGCAGCTCACTGGTATTTCCAGCAGTTATTCTAATACATATGATTGAAAATAAATATTTTTTCACCTAAAATTCATATGTTAAGTATGAAATAGGCCTAATACCACATCAACAAAAATTTGTATTACACAAATGTGATACATTTTAATTATTGTTAATCCACTCAATTGACAATAATTGTGAATAGAAAAATACCGTATTGCTTCGAATCGAGTTGCATCGAATCAAATCGAAAATCTTTTGAATCGAATCGTTGCTTCGAATCGAAAATTTTTTGCTGCTTCGCACACCCCTAATCAACATGATTTAACAAATGTTTGTATAGTAGGGTTACACTTCCCATATTTTTCGGTTTTGCCAATTCCTTAATTTAAGAGTTTGTTTCTAAAATTGGATTTTTTAAATATAACCTACCTTATCTTTCTCGAGAGCTTTTTTTAATATTGACACAGCCTGGTCAACATCATTGAGAACCTGTAACAGTACAGTTTAATTATTAAATATAAAAAATATTTAATCATGACATCATTACATTTATGACATTATAGGAATATAAACATTCAATATTTAAAACTTATTGCATAATAGTTAAAGTATTTGCCATTTGCTCACCTCAATATAACACTTGGATTCCCAAAGAATCTATTACTTACTATTAGTCTCTCAAAATTATGTCAACCGGAAACAATTTATTACCTACAATTTTGAAAACAACACAAATCATGTACTACAATAATTACAATGAATTAATACACCAAATAATAAAAAATGACTGCAAAGCCAAATAACAAGACAAAAGCCATTAATTTTTATCAGTGCTAGACATATATACAAAAAAACCTTGCGAGCAATGCCCTGTTAATATTACAGCACCTCAAATTAATCCTATTATCCTTGCAGCCAGATTGATTACTATTTACAAAACATACTATAGTCAAGCGTTCAATTATCCCTGGAGCACATAAGTGAATTTCCATTTGTAAGTTTGAATTTTTGCTGAAATACTTCCTTAAACCATAGATTGAGCATACTCAGTATGCTTAATCTGTGCTTAAACTTGCTACATTTATTCCATATTTAAATAAAATTAGATTATAGGGTACATAGGTTGTCTGTTACTGTACTAGGAAGGAAAACGTGTTATTTTTTTATATTAATGGTGATATGAATAAATAAATTTGCGAAATTTGTCAAAATATAAGAATAGCAAGGGAGTTTTAAATGTACACTCTTCTCAATACTTATCAGAATTTTTGTTTTATTTCAGCTTAATATGTATAATGGGTTCCAAGAATTTAAATATTGAAACAGTCATGGGACATATACGATATAAGATCTATATATATATATATTTTGTCAAGAAAATGATTGTTTGCAAACATTTCCACCCCTTCAACATAGCCCCCTTAGTAATTTAATTACAGAAATAAACTTTTGTTTAGATATTGCATAGAAAGCCAAATGTATATTGGATCCAATTAGTTAAAGGGTGAAAATCTTGCAGCTTTTAAGTTCATTTTGATACCAAAACCATAACTTTCATAGCTCTGGTTTTAACTTATAACCTGTAAAAGTTGGAAGTCCTTATTGAAACACGCTGTACTTTTGTCAAAATGAAATCTATCAGATGGTAGTTTGTTTCTCTTTTTCCCACCATATTATAAAATATTCTTAACATCAAATGCTCAAAAACAATAAATTCAATACTAGGGATGGACGGGTCCCGAAATTTCGGGAAATTTTCGGGGAAAAAATATTCCTTATTTTCGGGACTGATTACATTTGGTTTGAGAATTTTTCGGGACGGTATTTGATCCGATCATTGGCGATTTTACCGCTTAGCGAGTGCCGATGACGCCGCTATCGCGAGAGATGTTCACGCTAGTTCCGCGAACGCAGGGGGCGAAGTCATACCGACGATCGCCTCGTGACCGCAGAGTCATACCGAGGATTGTGAAGTAGCCGCGAGTCATACCGACGATCACACCCTACCGTGGAGTCATACCGACGATCACACCCTACCGCGGAGTCATACCCTCGTGCCGTGACTGTGGAGATATACGGACGATCCCGCCGTGACCGCAAGTCACAAGTTTCTATATCTGTTAATTTTTACTCATTTATTTGTTTTTATAGATCAGTGCCACAAATGGTAAAAATTTATTTTGTTTGTCTTGTTTGGTAACTGCAATACTCAATACTTTCTTTTTATGCACAAGATAAAATCCCGTCCCGTCCTGTCCTGAAAATTGGGAAGGAAATAAAAATCCCGTCCCGTCCCGTCCCGAACTGAAAATTCAACCCCGTCCATCCCTATTAATACCAATATTTTCCTTGAAACACTATACATTTTTAGGCACATAACATAATCAACACACACTTGCAGTTTAAACCAATTTAACACAAATACAAAAATTATATGTCCACCCAATAATATTGTGAAGTATATAAGCTACACAGATAGCTTCAACCCAAAAATGTTTCTGAACTTTAGGCATTTTGCATTTTTGTCCAGCATTAAAACTGGAAGCTTGAGAAATAAGTTAATTTTTGTCATGGTAGCCTAGTTGACCAATTGGAGTTACTGTAAAGTATTATAATTGGTTTTTTCTTTATACAAAAAGTCCTAGCAAGCAAGAAACCCCTTACTCATGGTATAGTATTGAATGTGACTTATGTCTAACTAAACGTTGATTATGTTATATATCTATTACAATAATGTCTATTCACGGTTATCAATATAGTCTATTACTATATCATTTTTGTGATTTAGTAATGATTAAAAAATTCAATTGGAGTTTAACGAATCAGTCAAAAATTCTACAAAAACAAAAACTTACCTTCCAACAAAATCTAGCGTACTTGATGGTCATATTGTTGGCAAATACACGGTTTTTAGCTTTTTCAATGTAGTGTTCATACAACTCTGCTGCGGTTGAGACCTCACCACTTCTTCGAGCCAGGTTGATTCGTCTGTATATTACTTGAATAAGGTTTGGAACAACCTTCTCCAAGTTTTCAAGAATCTCAGCAGCTTTTTTAAAGTTCCCTATAACAGTTGTTTTAAATAGTTTAAAAGAATTCTATCATTAAGAATAATTTACTTGCATTGGCTATTGTCTGAAATATATAACCGTACAATTAAATATCTCAAAAATGGATTTAGTTTTATTATTTAAATCTTGAGTGCTACATTGTAGGCCTACATACAATAACGGACATATTTTAAGTGCTTAAGCTTAGTGATAAAAGTAATTAATTATGACTTTGCAAAATATTGATTTTAGTCTTGTGTTTTCTTGGTCCAAAACTATAAAATAAGTTGGAATAAAGCCAAATACTTTATTCACCAACAAGCACAACACATTAAATAGTGTTAGGAATACAGTACAGTATAACTCCAACTATCCAAATTAATTGGGACTGCACCACATTCTTATAACCAAATGTTAGGCTGTTTAGATTGTTACTGATATTCGGGGTGTTAACATTAACTTCTGCAGTCACAAAAATGTTATCATCATTTTACGCAATCACGTCAAAATCATGAACTTCTCTCACGGCCGTGTAGACATCATCATTGACTACCGCTTTTCAGAATAACTAATCGTCATCTTCTGCGATCGCGGCAAAATCATAAACATCGCGGCCGTTTGGACATAATCATGGTCTCCCTCGGTCATGAAAACGTGATTGTCGTCTTGTGCGATCACGAAAACATCTCATACATTTTATTAGAATTTACATGGTTCATAAAATTTCCGACTAAGACAACAAAAGAAAGATAAAATCACAAAGACTGTTTTGATGTTCAACAGTCAGTCATAGCATTGACTATATATACCTACAGAAGACATCCCAGGCTTATGGGCCGGTAGTAGTGTGAGCCAGGTCTCGGGAGCAAGTAGTTGATGTAAGCTGCCGGTAGGCGTGCGATAGTAGGCTATCTGCGCTCTCTCTCGCACATTCCCCCCTCGCCCCGCGGCCTACTCTGCATCGCTCTCACTTGCACATTCCTTCTCTCTTTGTCTCGCTTCTCCACCGACCACGTGCACGTGACTGACACTGCTACGCTACACTACAAACTACATTACAACTGCTCGGGCAATGAATACAAGCTGGCACTCGTCAAACGTTAATGTAGGCCTAACTCATGATGATAACTTATCATCGATGATAATTAATTAGCATGTGTGTTGCGCGATTATGTGGTACGGGAACATATGATATGATGTGAACGAGTACTCTAATAAATAAAGGCGCAATTAATATGTTGAGCAAACATATTGAGTACTCGTGATATTTAGTTAATTGATTTGAGTTTGGTTAAGATATATAAACTTCAATTTAAAATAACAGCTTAAAACCTCTAAAAATTAGACAAACATTGTCATACAGCAATAAATCATACCTACTCTTGTTAGCTTCTACTAGTTATCATTGGCTACCGGAACGTGCTGTTTCAAAATAGGTGCAATTTGAAGATAATAAAATTATAACTACCATACATGTTACCGTAATTATAAATAAATCATTTTTAAACCGATAAAACACTTAAATCCTACTATATATACAGGGTGCCCCATAAGTAAACAGCCAAACTCCGGGAAAAAGGTTCTATGGGTCAAAATAAAACTAAAATCAAGAATACATTTTTTCCAAAATCGCTTCGTTAAGCAGATATCCACCATTTTGTATTTTTACATAAACATTTTTATTTTTGGACTTTTTCAACCGATCGTTATTAAACTTGGTATGCAAGTTAAGGTAGAAGGGCCCCTTGTTAAAAAAACCATCTTGATTCAACTTAAAATTTCAAAATGGCGGCCATTTTAATTGTTTAAACTTAAATGTCTAAAAAAAGAGCCGTTTTGTTCATTATATGATTTATTGCTGTATGACAATGTTTGTTTAATTTTTAGAGTTTGTTAGATCTCATTCTAAATATTGAGGTTTGTATATATTAACCAAACTCAAATCAATTGCAGTACATCCCTAAAATATTACGATTACTTAATATGTTTGCTCAACATTGTTATCTTCATTTTTTGAGGTGTTGCCTTCCGGATAATTTTAAACGAGATATAAGGAACATCTACCCAAACCATCCATCCACAAACCCAATTCCGTATTTAGATAATTTGACTAATTATAACCACGACGTCTCAAATATTGACAAAACCAACGATGTATTGCATTTTTTATAAAAAAAAAGGTCGTTTTCTAGATACAATTGAAGAGTTTGACATTTTCAACGCCGGCAAAAATCCCCAACACGTTCTCAACAAAAAAAAACGTCGTTTGAGTCAGCCATAATTTTCAAAGCTGCCTCATTCATAGAAAGATTATCAGAAGACAATGGAGCTGATAACAACAATACGAGGGGTAGGTGAGGAGGGAAAGGACACGGCGACGGTCGGTCTTGACCTACACCCTGTACCCGCAGCCGCGCCATAATCATTAGTGTTTTGTTTGTTCAAATGTTTGTTTGGGTCTCGTGTTTATGTTTTGAAGACTTCTTGACGACCTCCTAGTATAGGAGCAACAATTCGTCTTAGGCTTGACAATGACACCTTGGGTGTTGAAACCGGTCACTATGCAGACGACCAATGGATTACGTTGGCAACAAAAAAGTATTTAACCTCTAGGATATACTGTTGTTTTATTGATATAAAAGTACAAATGGAGACAGTAATGTTTAATGTTGTTTTCATGCGTTTGTTATACAATTAATTACCACACATATTGGATTAACCGAGAACTCAAATGCAAATAAAGGGAGCTCAACTTTGAATTAATGAATTAAAGCATTACCCTTAATTAATATAAGTACTCGTTCACATCATAAAATATGTTCCCATACTACATAATCACGCAACACACATGCATTAATGTTATACTAGTGTACCTGTTGCTCAAATTTGAGCAATTGTTAAGTATTACAGGCGTTATTTTTTACAGTCTTAATTTCTGATGACTTTTAAAGATTCAACTCAAAGATTATGGAAATACTCAAGATGTACATAACAGATCGATATAATCAACATTTCACAACAAACAAACAAACTTATTGACTGTTTACAATTTTAACATATATGTTCTTCTTCTCACTTTTAATTTCTGACAACAGCTGGAGTTTCATAACAATGTTTGTTTCCCATGTTAATCTAATGGAGAAATACGAAACTTTAAAGGGCCCCAGGGCCTCACTCTCTAATTATTTCCCTAAACAGAAAGTTTCCTGCACAACTTCACATTACGCTCTTTCCAATGACACCAAAAACATGTCAATCGGTTCAGTAGTTTCAAGAGGAGTAATTGTCTCAAATCTCATAATATAAAATCAGAGATAATGTCACTGGACATAACTTCTTAAAGAGGTTATTTTTTCGTTTAATGTCATTACCAATAAAAATGATGCAACGACTTATTGTATAATCAGCTGATTTCATGTAAATACGTGTTTGTAAAACTTCGTTAAAAAATAGCGTTATTTTTTTCAGTGAATAGGTTCTGCTAGCAGCATTCTTACCATAAATGCTCTATAAGGTACAATTAGGGAAATAGTGCAAATTTTTTTACAACTGAATATTATATCGTAGTGAAACAGTTAATTTACAGTTAGATCTCAGCATCGAATATGTGGTCCACAACGAGTTGGGTGAAAAAGTGGTTCGCTACTGAGCGTCACATATATGCGACGCCGCGGTCATTGCCACAGACCGAGGATACATTTGAATCTTACACATATCGACCGGCTGTCACTTGGTTAACAGTACCCATAGACCACGGGTGAAAACCTGTAAAACAGTGATCATTTACATTGTAATGTGCTACAATTGTGTTTGTAAATAATTTATTCTTGTTTTTGTATTTTTTATAACCTTTTGAAATGTTGCATATTTGCGACGCCCAGTCTACAGCAATTATCATAGTTTTCTTGAAATAGACCAAACGTCGCATGTATGCGACAGTTCATTTTTGTTTGTGTTTTGAAGTAAAAGTAAGTAAAAAAAAAAACAGATTATTCAAGAACTGTTTATAACTAAACAAATATAAAAGCTACAGAGGATAGTGCACAGGATAAATACTGCATACATACATACAGTGATGCAGAAAAGTAAAGACCAGTTTTTCCAACTATCATATGACGTCACTAATCATCATATCCACGGACCAAGTGACACAGTTGTGCGTCAGACATCTCTGTAGACCACTGCAGGGAATTCAGTGCCTTCAAATAGACCGTTACAAAGATATAAGCATTTTAATAACATTAGAACCCCAACGCAAATATGGATCGTCAGTCTATTTTAATGCAACGACAGTCTATGGGTGGAAACCGGCCGTCGCATATGTGCGTCGCTGGTCCATGTGAATGAAAAATTTCGTACTATTGCAGTAGCGAACGTGTTAAAGAGGTTTTCAAAATAAACCAGAAGCACATTTTCATTATCAATTTAACCTTATTTTGTTTCGTTCATTTAATGAATTGCTGGTATGTAATTTCATACCTTTGTTTGGATTTTGGAGGCAATAGATTAGCACACACAATTTGTGCTCTCATTTCCTGTCATCAAAATTATAGAAGTCCAAGAAAACGTGGTAACTTTTAAAACGACAATTCCTAAAATACAACTATAAAACTAACTGTCACTTGCATGACAAACTAATTACTACTAATGAAAACTAAACTAATAACTTAATAAATGTTAAAAGCTAACTTTTCAAATATTGAACAACGTTTTTGCAATGCAACTTAATAATCACGGTCACTCCGAGGCGTGAAGACAACTGGAACTGACCTCTCCTGTTATCACGACACCCGCCCCTCCAACCCCTCCACAGCAATGGGGTAAACAATCAAACCCTGAAGATGGCCGACGGCCAAAACTGCAAGTAAATCCTATCTTTCTTCGTCTTGTACGCCAAGTACGGCACATAAAAACAAATGTTATGTAAATACGTTTAATTTGATGATAAATTCATTATTTAGGTTTAAATGCAGAATATTTTATTTTTGTTTTTATTTAAGTCTTCCGAACTATAAAGTTTATACAATTGTAATTTAACATATACCACGACGCGGTGACGGCAGCAGGCGTGATCCTTGTTATGTTATTCTGTATGTTTTACATGTTTTAAAATTATGTCTTCAAACTTTTCTAGATGACGATTCAAATGTTCATTATATAATTCATAATGTGTAAGTAGTAAAAATAGGCCCATATTATTTAATACTTCAAGTTTTAAATCCTCGTTATTCATCACATTTTACTGAAAATGCATGTAAAATATCTAGCAACGACAAATTTAACGTATTTTTTTTAATACATAATTTGCCTCCAGGATTGATTTATTGCCAAAAATGAGGTTAGTAACCTCATTTTTGTCATATTTAACGTAGTTGGCAGGATAAAAACTTCTGATAAAAAGTCATGGTTTATTACTTCTTGAATAAAATAAGGAGTAGGCCTAATTAGTTGCTGGTAACATAAGAACTAATTACACAAACGTCAATCAATTATAAGCCTTGAATACAAATTTTATAAATAAACATTTGTACCAATAGTAGACTTAGTGTTGTTTAACAATATCGTGTGCGTCTCAACATAATGTAAACAGTATGAAACCTGGGTCTAGTCAAACACCACTAACGCACAAATTCATTTTTATGAAACGAAAGTAGGGCCAGGGCAGGCGGTGAGACGACATTCATCATAATGTAGTGCGAGTGACGTGTCACCACAGCTGATCGAGAGTAGTTTTTGCTCAGCTCATTGGCCTTTTTGGATATTGTTGTTGTAGTGACAGCGACGCATTGTATCCTCTCTCCACTCTCCCCCCCCCCCTCACAGTTATCGTCAGCTGGAGGAACTGAGCGCTGAGCGGTGGGTGAGCGGTCGACTGCTCAGTGCCCCTCTACTCGTCTGCGCATGCGTCGAGACTGTTTCTAACCTTTACAGATAGATCGCACCACATGCTAGCGCTGTTCTAGCGCTCCTAGCCAACAAATTACTGGCGACAGGTCCACTATGGCCATGGAACGTCTGTATAGGTATATATAGTCAATGGTCATAGTCAAGAATCTTTATTAATAGTAGGCCCTATACATGGTTGTACATGAATAGTGTTAAATAAATGAAAACTAATGCTTAAAACTACGATAAAGCCATTTTCAATCCATCTCAAGAGTATAAGGACAGGTCCATTAAATATTCCTTGAGAAGTTTTTTTATGAATGTTGGGTTTTTGAAGTTTTTCTTCTGTTTTAATTTTCTAAGCAATACATTTTTAAAATGCATGTCCTGCTTTGACAGTAAAAAAAAAAAAAAACGCTTTAATTATTTTTTCTAATTACAAAGTTATGTGTATTGTAGTTTGTTTTCCTTAATTGGTGGATTGAAATTTTGAATACTTTCAAGAACATACAAACCATAAACAGTGAGGATACTTTAATTTTTAAAGTGTTCTTTTGCAGAATCATCTTTGTTCATTTCATTTTTAACAAAGCTCAGATTGATTGCTTCTGTAATGTCAAAATTGGTCTAGATTCGAATTTGAGGTGGCTACATACACACATATGACATAAGATATATGGGATTGAATATGGGAAAAATAAATCATTCAATACTGCATAGTTTTGACATTTTTCTAATCGCACAAAGACCGGAATTAATTTTATTTAAAACATTTTTACAATGTTGGTCCCAAGACAAGTTACTGTCCAGTGTCAGGCCAAGAAACCTTACACTTCTGTTATTTCAATTGGTTGGTTATTTACTTTGAATATTACGATTGGATATGCGATTGGATTGGATTTGTTTTGTTTTGAACATGACACATTTGGTTTTACTTTCATTTAATTTTAAATTGTGGTTTAAAAAAATCCTCATACTAATTCCCTCCCCACTTTCCCATTATTCTGACTACTAGACACCCTGCCTAAAAAAAACTAAAACAAGTTAATTTCCACCATGCTTTGAACAAAAATTGAAACGTAACACATCCAACAAAACAAACGAAAAACTTTAAAATATTCAAACTTTAAAGTTTGAATATTTTTATAGTAATAGACACTAAATTAAAAAAACAATTTAAAATAGTAGTTTTAGTAAATTGTAAATTTATTTATCTTGTGAGCATTAAAATTTATAAAGTAAATGCATACATAAGGCATAATAATGGTACTATTATACACTAGTACTTTATATGTAAAAATAAAGATCTGACTAGAAAAAAAGGCCATGCTACAGGATCCATGGCATCACACTTGTGGATAGATTCACTGCCATATCCCATATGTTTTAGGTACAGTAAATAGTTAGCTATTTGTCAGATTTTAACAGTATTACATCTGGCAACTTAGGTACAACTATCCACCACTGTGATGTAGTATTGTGCTGCCCGCGCAGCAGCATGGCCTTTTTTTCTATTAGGGCCTTGAGCCCTTGCGAGTATATCTGTTTTAATGAACCGTGCGAGAGTTCATTACAACCAAGATAATGAACTACATAATGAATAATGACTTTTAATTTTTACATGTAGGCTAAGTATGAAAATATTATGCAAGCATGTATTAAAAACAAATAACAGGGAAATAAGGTTAGATTACATTACTGTTTAAGCAATGACTTACCTTGTATTTCCTCATACACTGCCCAGTGCAAGTGCAAGTTAGGTTTTTTCTTGTGATGTATCGTACAAGCTCGTTCAAATACGTCCCGGATGGTTTCATCATTTTCACTTGCCTTGTCCTCCAGGTAGCGGATATACCTCAGCCAGAACTCTTCATACAACGCACAAGCTATCAGACACCGTTCAAACAACACCATGATTCTTTTCTTGTCACCTCCAGCAATTTCAAACTCAATGTAATCCTTCCAGTTCTTAAGCTGGCACCTTTCCAGGGGTTTTACGTGGAAATAGGGTCTTTTGATCTGAAATTAGAAAAAGTTATTACTACTACTGTCCGATTTTTACACTGACCTATAAATAAATTTTATTTATCAATTGAAGATTATTTTTTATCTATTCTGCTCATACCAATTCCATTAGTTCAACACATGTATGATACTTTGTGTTTCCAAATACTAGTACATGTTATTTTGGCATGCAACCCAAATCATCGCATGCCACTGATGAGAAAGTACTGTCAAACCAATGGATACAAAATACATAATGAAAATTCTACGCCATGGGAAAATAGTTTACTAAAACATATTTCAGTGAAATGTATCATGGGTGTTTTGTTCAAATATCAGTATGGCTTTGGGAAAAATAAATAGCAGTTTAATGGAATTGTGGTGCAACCTTGATTTAATAAAAGAGTTTTCTCAGATGAACTTAAGTTAAGTATTATCAAATGCTGTAATTAAAGAATAAGTTACTTTGTAGGTGGAGCTCTCATCCGGTAGCTATTTTATCAGAATCAAACATACTTACTCCTTCTTCAAATGTCTGGCGAGCAACTACAGCTTCTTTTGTAGCCAGATGAACCTTCTTGCGAATTGAAATGATTTTTTCTCTCAATTTGGCAGTTTCTTCAGGACTAGCCTGTGAATATAAAGAGTTTATTTTATTTAAAAATATTATTGGTTTAGCAAAAGTTTTACAATTAGCAATTACTTTGACAATAAAATTGGATAAGATTACAATCTATCAAGACAACAATTTTGTAAAATCTTCCTTTATAAAAAATATGGATAAGACAGAAGAAATAAAAATCAGTAGGTACATGAAAACAAGACAGTCCTAGTATTATTATTACATTATTGAGTCATTAAATTTTAAGGTAATAAGAAGTTGTTAAATATAGAAACAAGTAAAGTGATGTAGGCTATCTACATCTGGAGAGCTAAATATCAGTATAACCAGTTCTTGGGAAAATAAGAGTCAATAATAAGAGTCGATAAGATTTATCGCAGCCATTAGACAGAAGTATTCGACATCCGTAAACAATAAGAACTGAAAAACAAAATTGCTTGTCTGAGTTGTCAATCTAGACGAGCGTAGCAGAGAGCCGAGAAATTAGACTACAGATACCATTCAATCAATCAATCCATCAAATATTCTTTATTCATAAAGTTTAGACAATATGTCTTGAATAGCGTCATTAAACTAACATAAACAAAAAATTATGCATTAGACATAGAGTTTAGAGTGGTTGTTGTCGCGTCGTCGTTCGGAAACCAAGCGTAGTAGCCCGAATCAGTCCTGGGCTGGACGACTTGAAGAAAATGACGTTTGTAGTCTATCGCCTTTGTAACACACTGATTTTGCTTTGTACGGTAATAAATTTTTTTCGGTTGGAGAAAAATTTTAGACGAATTCTGTTTGACTCTCAATAATTGCTGAATATTTAAAATAAAAAATCGACCCCAGAAAAATTCCTGCACGTTACTACCATAATTACGGAATTTCCGTATAGTTCCCGCATAGTTCCCAGTTCCCAGGGTCATAATATTCCCTTATAATTCCCGATCGACGGACACTCTGGATTTTGTAATTTATTTTAGAACACTTTTGTAGAGCTTAAAAAGGCAAACAATTTGGTATATGCTACTAAAGTATTTTTTTACACCTTTACAGAGAAAATAAAAATAATAAAAAACTTTTGACTACGATAGTGGAAGACGATGATGCTCTATTACGGTGGGGGTTATTAAGGATTTTGCAAGAAGTTATCAAAATTTGTATGTGTTTGCGAGAGACAATAACGTCTAGACAGCAAGAAATTATCAAAATTTTTCCTTGATCATGTAAAGGGTAATGATGTTTCTGGATTATCCCAGATTGTTCAGGATTATACCATAACCGTGGGAGACAATGACAATATCTACACAGCCACGGGAAATGATCAGAATTTTGACGCGATTGCGGTGGACGATGATGTCCACACGACCATGAGAGACGTTCATGGTTTTGCTGCGATTGTGGAAGACGACAATAACGTCCACACAACCGCGAGAGATGTTCATGATTTTGCGACAATCGAGGAAGACGATGATGTTTCCATTACCACGGGGGATATTCAGGATTTACCTGTAACCGTGGGAGACCATGACAAAATCCCCCCGGCGCTGGAGATGATCATGATTTATCCCCGATCGCAGAAGACGTTGATGATGTTAACATGACCGCGGGAGATGATCTGCAGATGTACTTACAATGGCCGCAACAACATCCCCTGCAGGCTCCTCTCCAGGGGGCGCCTCTGTGTCATCCCCAGGTACTGCCAGAGTCTCTGTTAGTGGAGTGTCACTCTGTCTAAGAGCCTGGAGAACCTCTTGTCTCAGCTCCAGGAACTCATCAACAGACAGAACTTTGCTGGGCGCGTTGGTGTTCACATGCTCACAGAACCTGCAACATGTTAGTCTACCTGAATACCACTCTATTTCTATCTGCATCACTGTTATATTTGGAAATAGCTAAAGAGGTACCCAAGTAAGAAAATTACACGTTGAAACACTAATAAAGAATTAAAAACAAACAAACGTCAAATTTACAACAGTGACAAAATGCAGGCAAGTTTAAATATGATTTTTTATAACTGTCCCACACTCTTTGTGCTTTCTTCATATTCCACACAAATAGGAATAAAAATAAAACTTTTACTGTTAATTAAAAAAAGGCTCACAAAATGATAAGGATCTGAAGGTTTCAAAATTTTTCGGGACAGGTCGGGCCAATAGTTTGCCTGAGGGATTATTTTGGACCAAGCTCGGGTCAGGGAATTAATGTTAGAGGGGTCTACGGAATTGGCTAACTATGAAACTCACTAACCCCATGTTAAACGCCCTATCTTTAAATTTGATTAATGAGAGGAACTTGCTAACTTGTTCGGTTTCGGAATTGGCTAACGCCGGAACCCGCTAACCCGCTCTAGAGCCGGGTTAGCGAATTCCGTCCTCATACGGAATTCGCTAACTCGTTCCCTCAGCGGAACTAGCTAACTCCCAATCAGAAGCCTCGTGCGGCGTCCAATGGGAGCCAAGCACGAAGATTGTTGGCCAGTGTTGCCGAAATTGTAGTACCTACGATCGTATTGGTAAGATAATGTCGTATCCTATGAATAATTACTAATTAGGAGTAAGAGCAATGTAGCCGATAAAATGAATATATATTTAGATGTTTAGTATTTTCTTGTGATTATTATTAGGGTGGAAAATGCATTATAATCTTACCAAAGACTAACCAACACAAGTAAACTTTACATCCCATTGTAAATTTTGAAGCTCGTTTTTCGTGTCTAGTTCATGTCCGGTGACAATGATCGCTGTTGTCGACGAAATTGTATTTCTATTATTTTATAGTTAACTTCATGATTTGTTCTCTTTTGTTTAGTTATATAACTAGGGGATGTGTTATTAGTTATGTTTAAAACATTTCATTTGTTTAAACGAGGTTTTAAATGACTGAAAACAAAAAACAAATTGTAAACAAAACACAACCTCTACCTACAGACAGTGCACCGGTCAGAAGTAATAATAAAATTGTCTTCAGCTGATCAATAAGGATGAGACGTGTAATAATATAAGGGAGTATGTTATGTTCTTATGTTTAATGGGATGCAAAAAGATAGTAACTTACTGTAGGCTACATTTAATTTTGATCTTTTACAGTTTATGAAATATCTTTTTTTGTAGTCGGTCATTTGTTTCTTTTATTTGAATAATACCATTTTGTGAACTTCTGCAAATAAAATGATTAAGTTTGTATTTAGTATAGCCTACTGGGCTTGTAACCTTGAATGCTTGTCCTTGATAGGTTAAATATTAGATTCTTAAAAAGGCCTATTATATGTCGTGCGAGTGTTAACAATAGGTTGGTCCTTCTTAATATTTCTGTATTATTATCGAAATAATTCTGAATCGTAGCACAAGAATAGGTTAGTAAACAAATAAAATAGATTCGATAATTTTGTATAGCAGGCACATGACCTAGGTACATTAATCAATAACGGAAATCTAAAACGTTAACAATGTAAAACGCGGATTTTAATATTGCGTCTTAACTTCGCCAAGAAAAGGAATTTAAATGTTCTTTTATTATGTTTAGGAAACATATAATCTATTAACAAAAATTGAAGCAGTCTTGTAATAGTCTATCCTCTTTAAACTTTTTTTAAGGTAAACAATCCATTACAGAAACACAAATTGTATTGTTAATTTAAAAAGAAAATCATGCCGTGCTGCATCGAATTGAATCGAATAGATTTGAATCGAAATTCTTTAACTGCATTGATGCATTGAATTGAGAAAAAAAAATGCTGCATCGCACACCTGTAATAGGTACAATTCACAGATTTTTCGCAGCCATAATGTTCCAGGTTTCTGCAGTGGCGGCAATAGCGGGCCCGGTGCGGAGGGGCCCGCGAGCTATGGGGGCCCGTGAGCCCTGACCGGGATTTTTCGGGAAATTTTAACGGGACACGGGCCCGCAATTGTGTGACAGGCTCAGCCGCACGGGCCCCCTATCATAACAATATTTATATGAAAATTACTATACGTTTTTTATGCCAAAAATTTGTTAAACCCAGTAAGAGCACTAGGACAAGTAGTTTACAACAGCTTAACTGACACTATTATTTGGCCGATCGGTATAAACTCTCTACCAACCTAAGTAAAAGAATTGTCGTCAGTCATGCAGGTTGCATCAACAGTCCTCATGGACTGTGTGAAGGCGCTATTTTTAATAGGGCCGTATTTAGAACCAATGAGTCCCCAGCCTAGGAGGATAAAACATTAATGTTAATCCTCCTAGGCCCCGGTCGGGCACACCAGAGAGGGCCCTCAATGCTGATTTAACTTAATGAACTTGACAATTTTTTACGATCAAATCGGCGAATCAACCTAGGTGTCTGATGCACTAGCTAATAAATAATTCCATTCTTTCATTGACGCTAAAGAAGGATTTTCATTTCACTTCATTTCTTACTATTAGGAGGCTGCACTTTTAGATTTGTTTACTTCGAGTCAGGTAAAAAATGTTACTTACTTATAGGCCTCGGGCCAAATCAGAGCGGTTCAAAATCGGTTTGCTTCGGAAAATGTTGATTTTTATATAATGTCGATTTTTGAGCCGAGCAGAGCCTGTATATAAGCTCGAGAGATCAAGCACAAAGTCAGAAAATCAAGCTCAAGCCGATTTTCTCAGTACAATAATGCCCAATTAAAATTAGAGCTTTTATGTCCACGAGGATCACGCCCACGAAATTGAAAGATTAGGCCTACCTTTTTGCCGCGATCGAAGATATTGACGAGAACATTTCCCCGCGGGTGACGATGACGATGTCTCCGCGGCCTCAGGGGACGTTCAATATTTTGCCAGATTGCGAAAGAGGTTATTGAAATTTTTCTGCGAGCGAGATATACTTAGGATTTTGCCGCGATTGCGGAAAACAATTATTTCCCCATCACCACGGGTCGGGGGGCGGGAGATATTAGGGATTGGGCCGTGAACGCGGGAGACGATAATGTTGTTATCTGATGATGTCATAGGTCATTTTGCCGCGATCATGGAAGACGATGATGATGCCTCGGGAGACGCCGCACCAAGCTAAAGTGCAAGTTTAGGCGGTAATACATGTGATATAATATTTTATATATAATATTTTTTTAGATTATTGGGAGGGGGGTTGATGGGTTTCACTGGGTTTATGGGTTGATGGACACCTTTTCAACTTTCCAAAGCAACCCAATTTTTGTCTCACTCGATTTTGGCCCAAGACCCTAAAGGCCAAAATTGTACACCCACCTAACCTAACCCCGAAGTAAAAAAGTTTGGCCTTAAGTCTTTTACAAAATAACTGTCCAGTTGTTAAGAATGACTACTACCAATACTTAAACTGATACAGAACAAGTTTCTTGTCAGCTACCACAATGGTTGTATCTGTTAAGTTTCACTTTTATATCCTCTCTCTAATTAATTTTGTAATTTATAGGGCAATGAGATACTACAGCTGAATGTCAGAACCATCCTACATAGGATGTACTAGGGTAGTTTTGTGGATATTTAAAACTTGTTTGGCTGTACACAAAAGCCACTCCAACAGTAATTAAATATATTTAAACCAGCTCTACAGAACAGTACTACAATATATTTTAGTTATATCGTTATTAAATAAATTGTAAAACTTACGTATCAAAGTGGCTCTGGTATCCCTGGGTTGGAGTTGCTAGAAGTCTATCATAAATGCTTGTGACATTTTGGAGATTTTTATTTTCAGTTTCCCACTTGATATAAGCCTCCCATAGTCGATCAGACCTATGAATGGAAAGACACTATTGAGTACTTCTAGAAAATGTGACATAGTTGGTTTAAAAAAAAAATCAAAATTAAAGAATACTAAGCATCAAACTGTGACTATCATGACATTTATTTTAAATAAGCTATTTATTTTCATATGGCAAAAAAAAAACTAAATAATGACAATATGAAAGCTCAACCAGATAACCTTATTGATACTAATGTATCCCATAAAAAGTTTAATTTTCGAATTTATTAAATCATTCACAGTATAATTTATTACTTGACATCACTGTTATAATTTTAATTTGGCTAACAATACAAAAAATTAAATACAACATTACATTGTATATTCCTTAAAATTTAATGTAACTTCAAAACCTTAAACAGTACTAATAATACTTCAAAATATCTTAACAGTTAATGAACTATAGATTTCTGCCAAAACATTTGATAAATATTAATACATTATTATAATAAAAGATCACAGTTTGTTAAAAAGCTCAGCAAAAAATATTTATATTAAAGATTATTTTAGAAGTACCTATTTAATAATTACTAAAGACCAAAGAAAAGTAGTGAAATGGTTAAATGGTGAAAGTGGTGAAATGGTTGATTTAATGATGCAACGTTTCTATTGAATTAACAAGTGTAGCTTATAGCTGTAACAATATTGATCAAATCATTTTGCATTAGCTTTAATGTGGTTTTGTTTTGATTAAGGTAAATAATTATTGTGTTAAAACAGGGTGTCCACCAGGCCAACTAGAAAAAAATCATGAGTAATTCCAGGTAGTTCAAGTTGTACTTTTCTTACCAAACTTTCCAAAGTGTTGTGTGTAGCACTAACACAGCTCGCTATTTTAGCTATTGAAAAAAGCCTTATCAGTTAAAGGGAAAAAATTTGTGACAAGTATAATATTGCCTGACACAAATATGCAATTTTTTATATTACTCCGATTAAATATTCCAAAAATCAAAAAATTGTTAAACCAGCATTTGCAGCAATGGAAAAAATTCTGATGGTTCGTCGCGGCAGTGTAGAAATCCTTACCGTCTCCCACGGCCATGAAGACATCATTATTGACTCCCGCAATTGTATGGATATCGTAATCGTCTCCTGCAATTGCAGAACAAATTCTGACTATTTCCTGCGGTCGTTTAGACATTATCATTGTCTCCCGTGATCGCGGCAAAATTTTTATCATCCCTTGCAGACATGTAGACATCATTATCATCTCCCGCGGCCATGTAGACATAACTATGGTCTCCTTCAGTCGTTTAGACATCGTAATTGCCTCCCCTGATTGTGGAAAATGTTAATAATCTCCTGCGGTCATGTAGACATCATCGTCTCCCGGGATCGCGGCAATATTCTGACTATTTTCTGCTGTCATGTGGACATTATTATCGTTTTCCGTTATCACAGCAAAGTTCAGATCCCTCGCGGCCGTGTAGACGTCATTATCTTCTCCTGCGGCCACGGAAACATCACTGTTGTCAAAAGCAATTGTGAAAAATTGGAAAAATTCCCGGTAGAAATACAAAATTCACGCATAATTCCCTGTTCAAAAAGATCATGCATAATTCCCGGTAGGGATGGACGGGATTGAATTTTTAGTTCGGGACGGGATTTTTTTCTGTGCATAAAAAGAGAGTCTTGAGTATTGCAGTTACAAAAAAAGACCAACAAAATCAATTTTTACCGTTTGTGGCACTGATCTATAAAAACAAAAAAATTGGTAACAATTTACAGGTACCTGTAGAATCTTGTGACTCACTGTCACGGTGCGATCGTCAAAATGACCTCGGTCACGGTGCGATCGTCAAAATGACCTCGGTCACGGTGCGATCGTCAAAATGACCTTGGTCACGGTGCGAACGTCAAAATGACCTCGGTCACGGTGCGATCGTCAAAATGACCGCGGTCACGGGGTGGTCCTCAATATAACTCGTGTTCACGTAATGATCGTCGGTATGACTCGCGGTCACGGCTTCATCATCGGTAGGACTCCGCGGTCACGGCGTGATCGTCGGTATGACCCGCGGTCACGGAATGATCGTCAGTATGACTCCGTGGTCGCAGCGTGATCGTCGGTATGACTCCGCAATCACAGCATGATCGTCGGTATGACTAGCGACCACGGCACGATCGTCCGCATGACTCAGCGGTCACGGCTTGATTGTCGGTAGGACTCCGCGGTCACGAGGTGATCGTCAGTATGACACGCGGTCACAGCATGATCGTCGGTATGACTCGCGCTCACGGCGTGATCGTCGGTATGACTCCGCGCTCACGTCATGATCGTCGGTATGACTCTGCGGTCACGTCGTTATCGTCGGTATGACTCCACGGTCACGGTGCGATCGTCGGTAGGACTTCGTGGTCACGGGTGGATCGTCGGTATGACGCGCGATCGTCGGTATACTCTGCGGTCACGGTGCGATCGTCGTTATGACTCCGCGGTCACGGCACGATCGTCGGTATGAATCGCTGTCACGGCACGATCGTCGTTATGACTTCGTCTCGTGAGTTTGCAGACCTATCGTGAACATCTCTCGCAATAGCGGAGTCATCGTCACTCGCAAAGCGTCAAAATCGCCGACGATCGGACCAAATCCCGTCCCAAAAAATTCCCGAATGAAATGTAATCCTGTCCCGATAATCGGGAATATTTTTTTCCCGAAATTTCGGGACCCGTCCATCCCTAATTCCCGGCATTCTCAGCCAGTGGACACCTGTTTAAACACAAAAGATTCTTAGCCATAATAATTTCAACTATTTCTCAAAGTTAGCACATTATCCTCCATTTCTCTTATGAAGAATTTTACGCCTACACATATATAATTTGTTCTTGAGTGTCCAAAATCTTTGGGAGCACACTAATTTTTACGCAAGACCCAAATACTACTTAGACAGAAATACCCAAAAATTAACTCGTGAGAATATTTTGGCAAGGTATTATCTTAAATGCACTGGAGTCAAATCTTAAAGGAAACCGAGACTAGTAGCAGGATCAGGAAGTAGGGATGTTTGGAAGTAACTGGTATTAAATGTCCATAAATTAGATGATTAAAAAAAGGTAAAATTCTCAAAATAAACAATTTTATTGAATAGTTTATATGACATCCAGAAATATTCCTAGAATAATTATAACAAACTTATTTAACAAATAAAGAACAGACCATAACATATTTCATATTGTTTAACTAGTCACTCCATATTTCGTCATTTCTGGTGATAAAACATAACAATGTTTGTATTAAAATTGAAAAATATAAATAATTTAAATAATGTTAACTGACTTAATACAATCATTTCTAAAAAATGAAGTTTCACATTGACGTTCACAAAATACAAAATAAATCCAACAACATTACAATATTTATAAATACTCCACCTGAATTCAAGGCCACAAGTTTCTAAAGCTTTCTCGAAGGTACTACGTAATAAATCTTGATTATCAGTGAAGGCCGATTTACAGTAGTTAAGGTAGTGAATCCATAAATCCACACTGAATGGAATTGCCTTCAAACCTCGTTCAAATACCTGCCGACAATCTTCTGGTTATCACAAGAAACAAGGAAATCGAATTTGAATAACAATTTAAAATATACTTGACTAAATTTAAATATCGAGTAAATTCAACACATTCAAATGAATTCACCTAACAATAACCATTTTAAGAAACATCACCTTACAAGGTCCAGCGAAGGTAGGCTCTGGTGTCTGTAGTTGATGGATGCTCGTCTAGTCTTCACTGACATCTTGCTACTCAAGAGCTCACATGAAGCATCACATACAATCACATTGTACTCTACATACATTGGTATGTAAAACTTTATGTAGAGCTATATTTACAGTATCATTATTATTGAACAAATAATTATCTACTTCTGTTGATATAATGAATCACAAACAACAAATCCATCAAATGGTATCAATAGCTTACTTACACTAAGTTTTATTAAATAGTATTTTGTGCTTACAGTAGATTAAAAAAAACTTAAGCCTACAACTAACGTAAGTCTTAATTTATAACACTAAATTATATTTATGAAAATATAGACAGTCAAACTATTTAAAACAAATGTATTTAAATAAACAAATAAAATAACAGGCTCAGAAGATAGAAATCAGTGTACATTTTAACTAAACACTATTCAGCTGTATCTACTTAACACTTTAATATATTTATTTATTAAAGACTACAGCGGTGCTGCTTTCAAATTTTTGTGACGTTGGTTCTGGTGCCAATCGTTCGTGTTAGCTGTCAAAGAGGAAAAACAGTTGATTAAAAATGGAGGGAAACACATATAAAACTGAATATTTTACAATCACTTTTGTCCCCATCTTGTCAATAATTACCTCCTCACACTTAGCTTTATTCCCTTTTCTTTTTTCATAATCAGCATACTTCCTCCAGTATCCATAGCAGTAAGGGTAATGTGACAGAAAAGCATCATAAGCTTCACGAGCTGCTTCTACGTCATTCTGTAAAAGAAAATTTTGTCCTTTAGAAAACACCATTAAACCTACACCATTAACCATTAACCTACCATTCTAACCATTAAAGTATGATTAATTAAACTCAAATATAAGTTTAATCTATTAGGTACTATTAAATAAATAAAAGTAAAAAATTGTAACAATGAATATATTTAATAAATATACTTAAAAATATGGTAGGCCATGAACAGGTTTAGGGTTAAGTTCAAAACTTAAACTAAAAAAGTAGGTTACAATTGGATTTTTTTCATTTTAAGGGAATTTCTCATATATATGGAATAGGCTATGGGGAAACATGTAGGTAGTGGGTTTGACCATAATCTGTTGAACTGTGAACAAAAAGGTATGTACCTTAAATAATAGTCAAATTAAACAGTTCATGGGTTACACAATGAATTTTAATTCTTTTAAAGGACCGGTAAGACTTAGACCCAAGACCAATTTACTTTTTCATTTTGATGTTACCAGAGGTCAAAAACACCATTCGTTGAAATTATTAGGCTAAATATAATGTCTGTGAACACAATAACGATTTTGGTCCAACTTTGAAGAAATTCAGCATAAATGTGAAGGGTTCGATAAACTTGATTGAGTTTGCAAACCAACAAGATTGGGTCATAGAAACAGGGTGTAATGAGGTTTTAAAATAATAAATATATATATAACCTATATATAATTTATACCGTTAACATTCCCAATTTTAATTAAAACCATCAATCATGTAGGGCTCAAAAAAAATATTTTACACAGAAGCGTTGTTGTACTAATGTAACGGAGAGCAAAAAAAAACTGAACATTTGAAATTCTCATGTTATTCCTATAGAAAAAGTAAACTGTTGTTGTTTACTTGTTTAGATGGATGGATATATTTTCATCAAATTTGGCAAATTCATTTATTTTATCTAGTGATGGGCGGATCCTAGAAAGTATCGGTACCGGATCATGAAAAATTCGGATCCGGATCCAGATACACACTGTCATAAGGGCGGGTTAAAAAAAACTTAATTAACAGAATGCCAATTTAAATCATACTGTTTAAAATTAAATTGGTAATGTTTAAAGGTTAATCTATCTTATATATAGAGTAATCTCCAGTTGAGCCCATAATCCCTAATTTTTTGGGGACACTAACAAAATCATAAAATGCACTAAGTTTGCACGAACACCAAAGGGGTATCTGTGTATATTTTACAATAGTTCGATCTTCAGTTTACGGGATATTTTTGAGACAAGATTATAGGCAGTTAGCTTATCATCCAGGTACAAAACTAAAAACTAGAGGTGTGCAGATATCCGAAAAATCGGGTCGGATTCAATTCGGAAAGATACATGCCATTGCCATATATGTTATTTGCATCAAGAGACAAACACTGAGACATGGCCTTGCCATATACGTTATTTGCATCAAAAGACAAATACTGAGACATGGCCTTGCCATAGAAGTTATTTGCATCTCGAGACAAACACTGAGACATGGCTTTGCCATATAAGTTATTTGCATCAAGAGACAAACACTGAGACATGGCCTTGCCCTATAAGTTATTTGCATCTCGAGACAAACACTGAGACATGGCCTTGCCATATAAGTTATTTGCATCAAAAGACAAACACTGAGACATGGCTTTGCCATTATAAGTTATTTGCATCTCGAGACAAACACTGCGACATGGCCTTGCCATATAAGTTAAATTCTTCAAAAGAGACAAACACTAAGACATGGCTTTGCCATATAAGTTATTTGCATCTCAAGACAAACACTGAGACATGGCCTTGCCAAATAAGTTATTTCCATCAAAAGACAAACACTGAGACATGGCCTTGCCATATAAGTTATTTGCATCTCGAGACAAACACTGAGACATGGCATTGCCATATAAGTTATTTGCATCAAAAGACAAACACTCGGGGGAAAAACGGTCTTGTACATGGATACAAACAGCTTCGTGGTAGTAAAAAAATCGGGGTTGTACAGTGATACAGACAGCTTTATGTTAATAAACAAATCGGGGTTGTACAGTGATACAGCAGCTTTGTGTTAGTAAACAAATTTGGGGTTGTACAGTGATACAGACTGCTTTGTGTTGGTAAAAAAATCAGGGTTGTACAGTGATACATACAGCTTTGTGTTAGTAAACAAATCGGGGGGAAATCGGTCTCTTACATGGATACAGGCAGCTTTATGTTAGTAAACAAATCGGGGTTATACAGTGATACAAACAGCTTTGTGCTAGAAAAAAAATCGGGGTTGTACAGTGATACAGACAGCTTTGTGTTAGGAAAAAAATCGGGAAGAAATTTGAAAAAATCGGATCCATCAAAACCGGATCCAGCCCAAGATCCGGAATTTTTTGGATCTGATCGGGTGCCGGTTCTAGCTCGGATCCGGCGGATCCGGTAGTCCGATATCCGGATCCGACCATCACTAATTTTATCTTATACTTTTGAGCAAAAGTCATCTTAACATTTCTTCAAAGCCCACTTTTTTTCCTTACTCATACCAGTGAACTTAAGTACAGTAGACTCTCACTAATCCGGCAGGTATAGGACCGTGATACTGCCGGATTAGTGAAAATGCCGGAATACTGAAAAGTTATCAATAACAACTCTTAAAATGCACAAATCGCACGATCAGAACCGCTATTGCCACGATCGCACATGACGTTTCCGTGACCGCCGGAGTCAATGATGATGCCTACACGGCTGCAGGAGATAAGCAGAATTATGACGCAATTGCGAAAGACGCTGTTGAGGTTTACATGATCATGGGAGACAATGATAATGTCAACACGACAGTGGTAGATGTTAATGGTTTTGCCGCGATTGCGAATGATGACGATGACGTTTCGTTGACCGCAGGAGTGGATAATGATGTCTACACGACTGCGGGATATGTTAATGATTTTGCCGCCATCACGCGCATTTCGACAATGACGTTTTCCTGACCGCGGGAGTCAGACGATGATGTTGTCTACACGACCGCGGGTTATGTTAATGATTTTGCTGTGATAGCGCAGGTCGACAATGACGTTTCCTTAACCGCGGGAGTCGGACGATGATGATGTCTACACGACCGCGGGAGATGTTAATGATTTTGTCGTGATAGCGCAGGTCAACACTCGACAGTGACGTGTCCGTGACAGCAGGAATCGATATTGATGCATACATGACCGCAGGAGATGTTATGATTTTGCCATGATAGTGCAGGTTTACAGTGACATTTACATTTCCGTGACCGCGGGAGTCGGATGATGATAATTTCTACACGACCGCGGGATATGTTAATGATTTCGCTGTGATAGCGCAGGTTGATAATGATAATGGCGTTTCTGTGACCGGGGGAGTTGATAATGATGCCTACTCGACCACGGGAGATGTTAATGATTTTACAGCGATCGAACAAGACGACTATGTCATTTCCGTGACCGTGGGAGATACTCAGAATTTTGCCATGATCACAGAAAACCTTACCCGTCAAAAGACGCCGGATTACTGGAGTGCCGGAGTGGCGCTGTGCCGGATTATAGAGGGTTTACTGTACTCTATAATCTGATGGTGTTTAAATAGAAAATATATATGACTTTGTTATACAGAAAATGGAATTTTTTTCAGTAAAAAGCCAATCAGACAATTGAATTTTAGCTTAGCCTGCAGATTTTCTTCAGCGAGGTTATTATTTTGATAGCTGGCCAATTGACTTACCTCCTGATCAACATACTGAAGTAAGTAAGTCCACCCAGTAAAGTCAGCAGCATCTTCACGGACGGCTTTCCAGTACTTCTCGAGCTCAGGTAAAACCTTAGGTTTGGCCTGTAAACATAATTAGGTTGAGTATTCTATCATAAACTACACAAAGTAGATACAAATAAATCTAATAACACGATTTAAACGTACATTTACACTATACTGTTTTAACTAGACAGTAAATCCTATAATCTAAAACAAGCACATGTACATGCAAACCTTTTTTGCTGTTCAAGGATTTTTGACTTTTTTCTATAATATGGGGAATTTGGCCATGACAAATTGATTAAAGTTGGTCACGAGGCTGGAAAAATCCAGTTTCCGTCCTACAGCCCTTGAAAGTGCCCATGTTATCGTCAATACCTATTTGTAGCTGAAGAAAAACAGCTAATACGGATTATTTTTACTGTCATCATTTTGATTTACATGTAAACAAAAATAACTGTATTGGTAAGTTAGGACTAAACGTTATAAAGAATAGTTATATTCAGTTTGGTTTTCATATATTACTGTTAAATGTTTTCAATGTTAATTAACAAGATTAAGAATAAAACGCGGAAGACCTTCGAAGCAAATATAAATTATCCGAAAGGGAGAGAAGCTACAATCAATCGTCAGGAAACAAATTTCAACTCTTCGTCTACAATCGAGCCAGTTCCAACCAGCTCATATATCTCACCAAATGTCTCAAAGACTCAGTCAATTCGCGCAACGAAGAAAAAAAGTAGAGAAATAATTTAAGATCTTATGGTCGTGCAAAATAATGAACAGGCATCTTGAGCAGGAGTGTAGACGAATGGCTGCTCGACGTTTGGAAGAACGTGCAGTGCATTGCAATTCCTCAAACCTCTGAAGTCGCCATGTCAGCAGATTTTGGATATTCACAATTGCAGGGTGTCTACCAGATTTCTCAAATGGAATTTCCGACTTTTCATTACAATTTTTTTTTATCCCGACCAAAAACTCAAGTCTATTCTCCATGTTACTACACCTTTTTCCATCTCGTGGTCACAGTACCTTCGTCAAAATATGTCGTCACTCGCAACGCAGCAAAATCACCGACGATTGGAACGAATCATGTGCCGAGAAAACACTGTATCAAATGTAGGTAAACATGTACTAAGCAGTAGTAATAGTTTTTTTATATATAATTGTATTGTTTTTTAGTTTTATATTTGACACCATTTCCTGACATGTACAAGGACGAATAAAGTTGATTTGCGAAGCAGCAAAAAATTTCAATTCAAAAGCAAACCGGCATTTGTCTATTCACACTTGTTAATGGAGTGAAATATTTGTTTTCAATCATATTAGAAGAACCAGTATGACTGGAAATGTCAGTGAGCTGCTTGCCTATGTCATAATCCTTACTTGCAGCATCATATTGTTAAGCAAGCACGTTACCTATTTCATTTTATTGTTTTTACAAATATAGATATGTTTTGGTGTAAACAAATAAAAACCATTGTAAGATTTTCACTGAATCTTTCAATTGGTTTACTTTGATTAAATAAGATGATAGAATCAGAACTACAAGGTATACATATCTACAATATAATGTACTTGGATGGTAATAACTTGTATGGCTATTGGCTAAGCAATGTCTCAGTAAATAACTTATAGAATTAATGTCAATAATTTGAATAATGTCAATAAGTTATATGGATACTGATAGTGATAGTCAAAGTAACAGTATCAATGTAACAGTCAACTAAGTATATGGATACTGATTCAAAACCTTATATAGATAATGATTCAATAATGTATGAATACTGATTCAAAAACGTATATGGATATGGATTAAAGGATTCAATAACGTATATGGATACTGATTCCCCCATGATTTAAAACGTTATTTTGATCATCACTGGATCGAATCGGAATTCTGATGCATTATCGATGCATCGCACACCCCTCAAATGTAATCCCGTCCCTATGATTGGGAATACATGAGCCAGACAACATTTTGAAGTTTTGGGACTCGTCCCTAATTTTGAAAGGTTAGATTATTCCCGACCTTCAGTCGAAGTTCATAACTTTTTCATGACTTTTCCCAAACCTTTTAAAATCCCCGACTATGTCAGTGGTTATTAAAACGAAATGGTACTGTAAATAATCTAAATGCCATGATCTATGAAACGGGTGTAATTACACATTACACATATCATTTCAGCAATTAATTGTTTTTGGTTTGTAACTAAACTATTTTTGTAAATGAAATGAAATGAAATGCTTTATTGTCGTTAAAACTGAGTACAAAGTTCATGACAATCGTCAAAAGAAAAAGAAAACAATCAAGATGGCAACTAAAACTAAAACTCTAAACCAAAGTACTCTTCATGTTTATACAGGCAAGCCTGGGTTAGAGTAGTTTTTAAAACATGTTTAAATTTTGAAACACACAGGTTTTTGATGGATGCAGGCAAGAAATTGTACATTTTAACACCTTGGTACTCAAAACTATTTTGAGTGGCTGTATACTTATGCCTTAGTGTAGACAGATTATCTTTAGATCTAGTACAATAGTTGTGAACATCAGATATCTTTTCAAAGTGAGAAATGTTTTCTTTTACATACAACAAACTTGCCAAAACATACAAGGATGGAAATGAGAGAATGTTAAGACTCACGAAAAGGGGCTTACAATGTGTTCTTCTATTCACACTACAAATTAACCTCACCGCCTTCTTTTGTAAAGTAAAAAGCAGCCTGTTAGCATAAAAACTGTTGGCCCACAGTGAGGTACCATAGGACAAATAGCTATGAATGTGGCCATAATATATACAAATAAGGACATCATCTGAAACAGTGGACCTAAGTGCTCTTATCATAAATATGCCTTTTACAATTTTAGATGCTACAAAATCTACATGTGAAAACCACTTCAAGTTTGACTGCAAATGAAAACCCAAAAACTTCAGAGTGTTTACATCATTACCATTACTGCTTAGACTAATAGTCAGGTCCTGAGTCTTATCAGCATTAAGACATAACTTGTTTGCATTACACCAGTCGTTAATAACAGCAGATTTTGTGTCCAATGTGTCTGTAACATCATTCAAAGAGTTACTCCGTACACACAAGGCCAAGTCATCAGCAAAAAGAAAGCTTTTTACAGATAAGTCATTAATATTACAAGGTAAGTCATTTATATACAGTATAAACAGGGTAGGGCCCAATATAGAGCCTTGGGGCACTCCGTGGGGCACTCGAACAGGACTAGAATAAGTGCCATTTAGATAGACTTTTTGCCATCTGTCACTAAGATAAGATTGAAAAAACCTAACCAAAAGGTTAGGTTGGAAAAATGATAAAATGTGTCTGATCAAACCGAGCAAGTATCGGTCCCCCTGTACTACACATAAAATATAGTAGTGGTAATCAATTTGATTGGATACTCCAATCATCATAAGACCCAATAGGCGAATGACAATAGGACCAATCCAACAAAAATATTGATATTACATGGTACAAAATCGTTTTGGCTGTTTTCTTTAAAAATCTAAAAAAATTCCATTGGCATAGAAGAAAACACGCAAAATAAAAAAGTATTATCATGATTTGGCCATGACCGCAGATGATAATCACTCTTTTGCAGTTACCGCAACAGATTATGATCTCTCTTTTGCAGTTACCGCAACAGATTATGATCTCTCTTTTGTAGTGACCGCAACAGATGTTCATAATTTCACTGTGATATGGAGGACAATATGAACAACATTGTACTAACCGAATGAAGTATTACAATTCATGTTTTTAAATCAATACTTTACAAAGCAATCCGATTTCGAGTCACGACTAAAGGTCTCAGACGGTTTTTAATACCTAGATAAACAAACAGATTAACAGAAATACAAAACCAGTATTTTTCTATTTAATTGTTGTTAATTTGAAGGGTTTTACCAACGAAAATTAAATAAAAATATGTCTAATAACCCTCGAGGCATATATTTATACTTATACTGTTTACTTACAGGACAAAAAATGCATATTAAAGATGGTGAGTGGTGATCAGTGATCTATTTTGATTGGACACTTCAATCACCATTAAACTTAACAAACTAATGTAGTGAAAATACATGTTTCAAAGAACTTTGATATAAGTCTATATTACTTGTATATTAGTAACAGGACTAACAGGTCATAGATATCTAAGACAGAACTTACAGGTGTTTTTGCATCAATAGCAGCTTTTTTGGCAGCTGGGGAATCATCGCTTGCTTCAGATGTGGGAGAGCTTGGATCATATTCACCATCAGCTAGCTTACGCTTCACTGATTCTTTTTTGACACCACTTCCTTCTTCTTTCTTACCATCAACATCTATAAAGATGATATTTCACAAATTAAGATCACTATCAGAAACCTTAGCCAAAACCTATTTTTGTACCAGAAAGTAAGAGAATCAAAGCATCAACAAGCATAGAAAAATCAACAGAGTTAATGTTTTAGAGAAAATATTTAGCCGAGCATTAACTTGTAAAATAGCTAAGCCAGTTTTTGTTTTTTACAAAACTGCCAATGAACAGAAAATAGTTCTTTTTCAGCAACATGATATTTTTTACTTGTTTATTTTAGTTAAAAAGTTCAGATTTGAACCAAAGAAATTTGGACCTATCAGGTTGGCAGTAGTTGGCACTGAACATTTTTAGCAAAGAATTGTTAAAAAAACAGTTGTGCCGTCCCGATGTTTTTTTTTTGTTGATTTTTTGTTTTCATGGGTATTTTACTCCTTGTGGTTGGCAGTAGCGTCATTTCCTGCTGCTTGTCGTTCCCGCCGTTTATAATTCCCGTCATTTCTTGTTCCCGCCATATCTGTGCTTTACACATCGCCCACCACTCTCTCATCACTCTTACCCAACATTACCAAGTGGCATTCACTCAGTTCTAGTCACCCGCGGTGTAGAAATTTATAATTACTACCTAATGAGTTTGTCTACAAATTTGTCTACATAACCCTGTTCTTATTATTTTTTTAATCAGTTAATATCAAAACATGTGGGGTACACGGAAGGAGCCTCCCTGAAGATTGCTGACCACATACCACAATCGGGCGTACCCTGGGCAACGTTATCTTTAACGGCTAATCCTTCCAACACCGGAACACCAAGCGAGAACAATGGATACCGGCAAACGGATTTTATCAAAGCCAACTTTAATAACAACCTCAATCAATATTGAAGGGCTTTCACCGAACAAAGAAATTTTACTTTCGGACTTGTGTAAAAAACGAAATTGTGACATCACTTCAGTGGCATTGACTTGTAATAGCGACATAGAAATTCTGACAGTGGAACTCCAGTCCTGTACAGTAACGTCCATCTACAAACCACCAAATGTGCCTTTCCATTTTGCTGAACCTGCAAATTTTAGAGCAAAGAGGATTAAGTTTGTAATTGGAGATTTCAACTGCCACAGTACGACATGGGGCTACAGCCAAACTGATGAGAATGGTGATGAACTTGAGTCCTGGGCTGAAAGAAACGATCTAAAGATCATACATGATCCAAAGTTGCCAGCATCTTTTAAGAGTGGAAGGTGGAGGAAGGGGTACAATCCAGACAACATCTTTGTGAGTGACCTTGTTGCACAGCAAACAGTAAAGCTAGTTGAAGACCCTTTCCCTCGGACACAACACAGAGCAATTACCTTTCTTGTCACCGCTGTGGTTAGCCCCCAATCTGTTCCTTTCAAAAGACGTTTTAATTTCAACAAAGCTAGATGGAACCTATTTACTGAAGAGCTAGACATGGGCGTTACTAATCTGCCAAAGAGTTGGAAGGCATATGAAGATTTTGTAGCACTTGTCAAGAGTATATCCAGGAAACACATCCCGAGAGGGTGCCGTAGGGAATATATTTCTGGCCTGACAGGGGACTCTCGTCCCATCTTAGAGCGGTATAAAGAGCTTTATTATGAAGACCCTTTTTCTGACGATACATTTGAGGCGGGTGAGGAACTGCTTGCAACCCTGACCGAGTCAAGGAAGGAAAGATGGAGCAATTTGATAGGGGCACTAGACATGAAGCAAAACAGCAGGCGTGCCTGGAAACTGCTAAAAAATCTCAGTAACGACCTAACTGCACCGAAGAACCCGCTGACAAATGTTACGCCGGATCAGATTGCACATCAGCTGCTCATTAATGGGAAACACCATTCAAAAAGTAAGAACATGAAGATCGAAAGGGAAGTCGAAGATGAGCAGCATTCTTTGGAGACCCCTTTTACAGCTGATGAACTCTACACTGCAATTCAGCAATTGAAAAACAATAAGGCTGCTGGACCTGATGAGATAAGAACAGAGCAAAGTAAGAACTTTGGTGCTGCGACAGTCACCTGGGTGTTGGACCTCATGAACGACTGCATTACATCCATGCAGATCCCAAAAACATGGAGGAAGGCACGAGTAGTAGCCGTCCTGAAGCCGGGCAAGGAGCCAACTGATGCAAGAAACTTCCGTCCTGTTTACTTGTTGTGTCACCTATACAAAGCTTTGGAACGCATGGTGTTAAATCGAATTTCCACAACAGTAGATGCATCTTTAATACGAGAACAAGCCGGCTTCAGACCTGGAAGATCCTGCACGAGCCAAGTCCTCAACCTAACACAACACATTGAGGATGGCTTTGAGCGGAAACAGATTACGGGAGTTGCCTTCTTCATTGACCTTAGCGCTGCTTACAATACCATTAACCATAACAGGCTTGTATGTAAGACCTACAAACTAACTAAAGACTATAAATTGACAAGGCTTATTCAATGTATTCTGCAAAACAGGCGCTTCTATGTTACTCTCCAAAATAAAAACAGCCGCTGGAGAAACCAAAAGAATGGTCTTCCCCAAGGTAGCGTACTGGCCCCTTTGCTGTATAATATTTACACTAATGATCAGCCTATACAGCGTAATACTAAGCAGTTCATCTATGCTGACGATACAGCGGTAGCAGCTCAAGAGCATACATTTGAGGAGGTGGAGAATACGTTGACAAAAACTCTGGAAAAACTAGGAAGCTACTATGATGAGAACCATCTTAAGCCTAACCCAACCAAAACCCAGGTATGCGCTTTCCACCTACGGAACAGAGAGGCAAAAAGAAAGTTAAGTACTGTGGAGAGGGCAAGAACTCGAACATAATGACTATCCTCAATATCTAGGTGTGAAGCTGGACAGAGCATTGACTTTTAAACAACACTGCCTTGCTACTAGGCAAAAAGTGTGCTCCCGAAATAATATCATTCGGAAACTTACCAACATGTGGATGTTTATCGGATGTACATCGGAATGTTTATAAAGTGATTAATCCTATTTAATGTATATTCCAATGTAAAAATGGTGTTACCGTTGAGAGAATAAATAAATAAATAAACACATCCTGGGGAGCACCACCACAGGTGCTACGCACTTCTGCTCTTGCTCATAGCTTCTCAGCAGCAGAGTATGCAGCACCAGTGTGGAGAAACTCTGCCCATGCAAAGCAGGTAAACATAGCCATCAACGAAACTGCAAGGATCGTGTCAGGATGCTTAAAACCAACCCCAGTGGACAGTATATACCCTCTCATTGGGGTAGCTCCACCATATGTAAGGAGAAACGTGGCAGCCGCAGTAGAATGACAGAAGCAAGTGACCGACCACCGGCATCCACTATATGGGCATCAACCGCAGCCCTTTAGACTCCGGTCAAGAAAGAGTTTCCTCAAAACCACTGAGATACGAGGGTCATCTTAAAAGTAAGTTACACCTATTTCCAAAATAAATAAAAAAGCCAAATTTGATTTGAAAAGGGTATATTTTAAAAGATATATAAATAGACTATTTTTCTACGTAGTCGCCATCTTTTTCAAGGCATTTTTGATAACGTGGCAACAGTTTTTTTAGTCCAGCATCATACCACTCTGCCGCCATTTTGGTTAGCCATTGTTCCACCTCCCGTTTCAGTTCGTCTTCGTTTTCGAAGCGCTTCCCGCCTAAATGCCGCTTCAACTCCGGGAAGAGATGAAAATCACTCGGCGCCAAGTCAGGAGCGCTGTTTTGGTCAACTTCCCCCTCCTTTTGTTCTGTATCGCCCTTCTCAGCTTACGTAGCACTTCACAATAACGTTCAGCTGTAATTGTTTCCCCCCTTGGCAGGTAATCAATCAACAATACTCCCTCAGAGTCCCAAAAGATCGTTGCCATGACCTTGCCAGCTGATTCGGCGACTTTTGCCTTTTTTGGAGTAGGCTCGTCCTTTCCCTTCCACACCATGCTCTGCCGCTTGCTTTCGGGCGTCCAAATGTGCACCCAAGTCTCGTCCCCGGTTACTATCCTGTTGAATAGGCCATCTCCCTCATCATCAAAAAATTGTTGGAACTGGAGAGCAGCATCAACCCTCTACTCCTTATGCCTTTCTGAAAGAAGGCGTGGCACCCATCTTGCACAGACTTTTGACAAACTGAGATCGTCCGAAATGATTCTGTGAAGCGACGCACAACTAATTTCAACATTTGGAGGAAGCTGTGTGATGATTTCATCCAATGTCAAGCGCCGGTCAGTGTCAATGACCTTGCGGACATCTTCAACAACAGTCAAAGCGCGGGAAGTGGACGGGCGGCCACTTCGTTGTTCATCGTGTAACGATTTTCGTCCATCAATAAACGATTGACGCCAGCGGGAAACCATTAGCCTAGACATCACATTTTTACCATAAACACTGCACAATTCTCGATGAATTTCACTTGCATTTTTATTCTTTGCAGTCAAAAATCTAATTACTGCACGGATTTCACAATCGGCGGTGGGAACAAGTGGTGTCTCCATGATTGCCGGAGCGATACTGGAGGGGCGCGTGTCGTAGGCGGCCGCGATGGATGCAGTGTTTCCACTACATCCAGACGAAAATTCCCCGCGACTCCCAGCTTTCTAGCGCTCGACGCTGTGATTTAAAACAAATGTGTAACTTACTTTTGAGACGACCCTCGTACATTCAGTAACACCGGAAGTATTAAGGCTTCAGCTATGGAGGCAGGAGGCTCAACAGCCACCAGTACAACTCAGAGAGGAACTCCCTGCAGGCTGTCACCTGCCTTACCCCACATGGAGGACCCTAAATAGATTGCGAAGTGGGGTCTCGAGGTGCAAAGTAAACCTCATGAGATGGGGGTACTATGAAGGAGAACCAAACTGCACATGTGGGGCCCCTCAGGACCATGAACTACTACTACTAGTTTGTACTACTAGTTTGTCCAGATATGGACAGAATATGCTCCAGGCTCGATCTTAAGGAGGCAAATGACGAAGCCTTATATGTGGCAGATTATTGGAAAAATAATATCTAACTGAGCTGGTGTTTTTTTTCCGGACACGGAAAGTAAGTATCAAAACATGTAAAATGTAAATTCTTTTTAAGTCCATTTTGCCTAAATGTTTTACTTTTTTATATCTTTGTATATTTTGTTCAATAAAAATATCTAAAAAACATGTATTAGGCCTACCTTTTTCATATTTTAACATTTTTGTATTTAATTTACCTCAAAATTGTTCAGTAGCTACAAAAAGGCATATATCATTTGACAGATTAGTAGGGGCGCACCGAAAAAGTCGGTTATGTTATGGTACATACCGTCATCGGTTCGGTACAGCATACAAACTCGGTTCGGTACAACCTATTATAATAATAAACTACTTTCAGTTTACTATCATATTCATTCAACCAAGCACATAAAAGGCTTATCAGATGTTTGTATACGATCTTCATAATTTATTGCTAGGGTAGTGATGCAAAAAAAAAACCATTAGCAGTCCAAAATCCATTAATATTTTATCATGAAAATAATTGTTGTACTCAAGGGTCGTGTAAGAGGGGAGGGGGAGGGTATATGACCTTGAGTGTCCCCGGGGCCTGGCTCGTGAGAGTGATTCATGGTTTTTTGTTTACATCCTACTACCATTCCTTTTGAGAAAAAGACCCTGCAGTTTCAAAAACATTGACTTACAGTTTAAAAACATTGACTTGAGTTGCTAATTAGGGCATTAGTGTCTCTGCATTATGTTGCCAAGTTGGCATTTAATTTTCTTTTCTCTTGATTTAATATAATCTTCTATATATTAATTAGTTAAGAGTTCCTTTTAGGCTACCTAATTAATTGTGATTTAAACAATATCTTGACTTGAGTTTATTGATTTTTAATTTTTTTAATTTATTAGTTATCTAAATCAGTTGTTTTAGATTTCAATCTTTTGCTGTAGGTCTATCTATGCTACTGTATGACTTGATATGTAATTTATACAGTCCTTACTAATTATACCATAAACAAACCATGTGTAAGGTAAATAACCCATGTGTGTGTCAATTACTATTTTAGAGTTTTACAGTAAATCTAAATCAGTTTACACAACATCTTATCTTCAATGAGTTCTCGACTTGTCATGTTGCTTAGCCTATTACTATTTCAGGCCCTTTAAAAAATTATTTTTATGTAAAGCTGTAGGACTACTAATGCCAATAATAGGTAATGTATTTATGATGCTGTAACTAATAATGCTATTGCAAGTGTGAGGTTTTGTACAAGCACAAAAGTTACACCTAAGTTTAGGTGGTTACGAGGGAGGAATGAATGATACATATTGCATTGTGGAAACATAGAAATTTTATTTTGTTCCTTCTTGCAGTTAATGCAATTCCCAAGATGTAAATGAGAAATGAAAATGAAATAATATACATAAATACAATTTTTTCATTTTATTATCAAGTAATAATATAAACACAGATAGAAGATTTAAAAAATCCATTAATAAACAATTTTTGGCTTGACCCAACGCGAACAAAAAAAAGTCTGACCCGCAGACCCCAATAATCAAGTCAAGTACTTAACTTAGCAGTAAAATAGGGGAAGCCTTTATCATTACATTGTTCATTTCTTGACACAATCCCGTTAGAAGGAAAAGGTTTTAATAATGTGTGGGACAGTAATTAATTGTTGTTAGAAAACCACAAATGTAGGAAACTATCCATTTTCGTAGTAATGTCAATGTATTACAATTTAAAATAATGGTTTCAATCTGAGGAGAAAACCGCAAAATTACTGATAGCCGCGTACCGTACCGATTTCGTACCGAGGTACAAGACATTGTACCGTACCAAACCGTACCAACCTTAAATTTTCTGTACCGCAGACCCCTACAGATTATTTTGAAGTTGGTGTCTAAAAAAGGTTCCAATTAAAGTGTGTGATGTGAATCCTGGACCAAAAGACTCAAAAGCAAGCTCCAAGCAATGGAAATGAGGTATCTTAGGAAAATAAAAAATAATAAATGAAAATCGTTATTTGTCATAAGGATACATTACAAATCTTAATCCTCCAAAAAAGAGCCGTTAGGGTTATCGCTGAATCTGAACTTGATGAACATTGTAAACCTCTTTTTGTTTCAATAAAAATTCCTACTATTATTAATCTGTATATCTTTGATTTAACTGTATATGTAATAAATAACACACAAATACTAAAATTCCATTAACACAGATATAATACTAGAAATAAAAATTATACTTCCATTGACTACCACAGGCTCTCAAAACCTATAAATAGCCATGTTGTTGTAGCTCCTAAGGTCTACAATAAACTCATTGGCCTTATCTCAAAATATGATGTCAAACAATTCAAGAGAAAGTTTTATAACTGGTTATTAATAAACCCACTTTAATCACTTAATGAGTTTTTTCTTGCCAAATTGCTTTCTAGATTGTTCTATACACTTAAATACAAATCCCCACACTCTATTAAAATTAATAGTCTCTATAAATTATTCTTCACATTAAAACTATTATTGAAAACTAAAACTCTCTTTTTATCATTAAGATATGATGTTATCAGAAATTATTTTCTATTTTATCTGTTATTTATGTTCAAGGCCAGCTTGAAGGAGAAATTGTTTGTTTAGTTGTTTCTTCTATATATTGTAAAATTTAAGTTTAATTTTATATTTACATCTACTTTAATTTGCTTCATGACAATTTGTAAAATGCAATCTGACCTATCCTATTGTACTTTATTGTACCGAATGGAAATAAATATATTTGATTTGATTTGATTAGATCATCGACAAAGTCAAAATCATGATCATACATCAATTGTCAAACAAAACAAAATCAAAACACTTTTAATATTTAGAAAAAAAAACAATAGGCCTTAATTACTAAAATATGTACATATGACTAAACAAACAATAATAATTAAGGACCTGATAAAGCAACAGGTGAACAGGAGGGTTATGCAATCAAACGTTTATTTGGCCAGATTTAAAAAATCGTTTAGGCTATAAGAAGGGTTGTCTAATAGCCAATTATAAAACAAGAACTTAATTTTTCCTGCAGATAAGCATCAATATTGTGTTTTAAAAGGTTATATAATTTAGTCGATAGCAATGATAGCACTATGTGGCTCTTGCTAGTCTTATTCAGACGATGTGATTCTAACAAGGCACTATTGTTAAATCTGGTATTGTGATTATGATTATTGAATTTTAGGTGATAGGGTTTTTTTTAGATATAAAGGGTAAGATCATAAATAAACAAATTTATTAAAGTTTGAATCTTAAAATCCTTCAAAAGAGGCTTGAAATGCTCGTCTGGCTCCGATCCATTCAAAGCTCTGATAGCCCCCTTCTGTAGGATTAAAATTTCATTAATTCTTCCACACCCAGAATATCAATCCATATCTCATTGCAGACTGAAAATATGCAAAATAAGCTGATCTCAAAAAGAACAAAACTAGAAGGGATAGGATAAGAAATGTTGCAATAAGAAACACTTTAGATGTTAAGCCCTTAACCACCACAATACAGGAACAGCAACTAAAGTGGTTTGGGCATGTTCATCGTATGCCCACAACTCGGCTTCCCAAGATGATGAAAGAGGTCAAAGTTGAAGGAAAGTGCAAGAGAGGTAGACCGAGAAGGAAATGGGAGGACGAGCTAGAGGATGCTCTGCGTGAGAGGGGCAGCTCCATTCGTGAAGCTCTACCACTCACTGCAGACAGAAAGTGATGGAGGCGCCTTGTAACCTTGACACCAACTGGTAGAAGAGGACAGGATTAAGTAAGTAAGTAACTCTATTTCAAGTTTTATTTAATCAAATGTATGACGGTTACTTGAAGTGAAACCACATTGACTCAAGTGGGTTGGCAATTTTAGGGCAAGTTTACAAGTATATGCAGAAGCCTGGTAGGGCATCAGAAAGTGGCAGTAACACCATCTATGAGGCATAGTATGTCCTTTCCACCACTGTTCTCTATTGGTGATTTGGTGAAACACTGCACAACCCTGGACATCGTGTCCACCCAACCTACCGAATCGGACGGAATAACATGACGTCCCGATTGGACTGCGTGGTACTTAACGTGTTAACTTGATACATATTGAGGTTGGAAATATACAATAAGATAGTGGTCAGTTTCTGTTAAGAATTTGTTGCATTACATCCTAATTTTTAATGCATACTTGAACAATTATATAAATTTATTTAATATGGGTAGGCCTAATGAAATTAGAGATTATTTAATGATACTAAAACTTTAGAGCAAGTTGCAATTTTTTTTTCACGATATAGAACATTGGAATGACTAACCTGACTTATTTTTAGAGTTGGGTGTGGTCTTCCTCTTGCGTTTCTTTTTCTCTGATCCTTCAGGAGGTAACTCGTCCTCTGAGACGGCCTCGGTGTCAGGCAGGTCTCCACTGGCTGGCAACTCCTCATCTGACACTGCCTCTGTCTCTAGAGGCTCCTTGTTGACTTCGGCTGGTAACTCGTCCTCAGACACCATCTCTGTGTCTGGCTCCAAGTTCTGGTTCAAGCCATAACAAATTAATAAGACGCTAAAAACTATTTATTTGAATGCAAATAGGTTGAAAATGAGTAAACATTTATTGCTCCAGAATATAGAGTATCAGTGGTATTTTGAGAAGTAATTCCTGGCGACCATATTTTAGTGTAGGCCTACTGGGAACAGTTTATACATACAAGACTAGCATACTACTAGCATACCATCCTTACAACCAAAGGCATGTAGTCAAACTCAAAACCAGTGCTAACTCCAGGTATAATAATAAGCTCGGTGCTCATAGTCTTGAATTGTGTTATATGTTCAATTGTCATTATGAGTGAGCAAGGTAGGCAGCAAAGTAAATAAATATAAATATTGATTCAGTTGTTTTGAACACTAAAAATAAGTTCTGCTGTTCTAAACTAACAGGGGCCAAACCCTGTTCAGATTCAAATTTCTTTAATAATATATAGTTGATATGATGGAAAAATTGCCTCAATCGCGGTTGACATTTTGTGTATTTACGCTTGCAAAAGATGTTGTCATTATAGCCACATATTAATTATCACATATAATTATCACAAGAGATGGATGGATATTTTCAACGGATGCAGGAGATGATAACAAGTTGCCATAATCACAGAAGACTATGGCAATGTTGTTGCTACTACTTTCGTCTATGTTTTTGGTTTCATCGCCAGATTCTTCACCGTTCACGACAACATTGTAGATTTTGTCTACATTCATAGTATATTGCTGAAACCACCAGTTCCAGAACTCACTAGCATTGTCGACGTTCATATCTTCATTTTAGGAAATTTTAGGCAACATACCTAGCCTAATATTGCCAATGTTCGCGATGAAATCAATAGCATTGCTGACGTTTGCAAGATTATCAGTAGAATCTTCAATAATCTTGGCGTTATTACTAACATCGCCAACAGCACATTCATATTGATAACTTTGAGGATATTGCTAGCTTCGGCGAAATTTGTGTTGATATTGGGCTCTTCTGCCATTTACAGCAATATTGTGCGCTTTTCTGACATTTGTGATGATATTGCTCGCTTCAACGTCGTCTGCAGTAATATAAGTTAACTTTGTGCAAACATTAAATAATTGAAGAATCTGTAAATTTAAGTTCAAAATAGGCGTATTTGATTAAACCTGCAAGGTTTGGAATAGCGGAACACATCTGTACCAAGAAACAGCTGTTTTGCAAACTAAAAAAATTAAATTGGACTTTATTTGACAAACAATTTGGAAAAGTAACTATTTGCAATACTATGCGGTTATCACCTGTTTATATAATCTAGTTTAAAGAATAAAAACTCTCCAAATGGCATTTTGCAGCCGAGTACTAAGTCTCACTACGATTAAACTTGTGGATCTGGTGTTGATTTAATTATTTAGACAACAGATTAACTTCAACTACATAACCATACTAAATAGGTTTTTACCACTAATTAATTAGTGGTTACTTCAACCTCTGCATCGTTTTTGTTGCCTATAGAGCAACCATAACCTTTTTTACTGAATACATTGTGTAGGATCTCTCTTCGGTGATTTATTTATTTTGTTATGTGCCACTTTTGATTTTTGAGATTTGAATATGATGTTTCTTTCAAGCTTGTCAAAAAATTGCATTCATATCTTGGATGAAAAATTTTGCAAGGTCTCAATCTTCAAACCTGTGAAACTTACTTCAGGTTCGTGATGAAAAATACAGGGTGTTTGAAAAAGAATCATACGATAAAAAAAAACCATATCTACTCATCTATGAAACTGATTTGACCGAACAAAATACTGTTATAAAGAGGAAGTGCTTGAGTTTCACAGGGTTTCTGCCAGGTTGCAGTAGTGCGCTTCTGTCAACACCCAGCTCAGTAGTTGTCAAAATGGTGTATTCAATAAACGCCCCCAAAATTTAGAATTTTCTCCATGTTATTCTAATGGGGAATAGCATTGAATGTGACCGACTTTGGTATGCTCATCTGAACCGTTTAAAAAACGTGCTAGAGACTTGAAATTTGAAAACGGTGTGGAACGGGCCTTAAATTATCCAGAAAAAATCCAAAAGTCCTATTTTCAAATTTTAACCACACCAAAAATCCAAAATGGCAGACATTTGAAAACGACAAAACAAGTTTTTTTTAAGGGCTATGCAGTAACTTAAAAGCGGTAAGAGCTAAAGATTTAAAAGAATTTTCATGGTCAGGAATTAAATTTTCTACAAGACACTCATAGGGGTTTTCCAAAAATCGTACCCCTTCACCCAAAAAAAATCGCCCTACTTTCAATAATTTGCATTTATTTTCCAATTTTCAATTGTTTTCACAACTTTGATCACTTAATTTTTTGTTGAAAGTTGGACATATGCTGTGCATCTAAAGGGCGCCATATTGAGCACCTGTAAATGGTGTGTAAAAAAACTTAATTAGTTACTCTTTAATATAAAATTAACCTCATGTCCATATGATTACCCTATTAGTTTTCAAATTATGAACCTACAAAATCGGATCATTCTTTTTTAAACACCCTATGAACGGAGAATACATTTATTTTAAGTAGGCCTATAGGCCAAGGCCTACAGATCCGCATTACTAGGTTACTTACACTATCTTGTTTTGCCTCGTCAAGAGAATCTTTTTTTTCTGATTCATCGATCACTTCGTCGATGACAGTCATTTCTTCAAGGGTCTGAGTTTGGGGAAAGGTCTTGTCACATGGTTCATCTTCCATTTTTTCTGGGGGTATCTGTAACAATGAATTAGCTATGAGCTCTATAGAGTTGTTGTCTACATTTAATTTGTCATACGACAGAATGTATATATTTCACTGGTTTTGACCATTCAAGAACTGCTAGCTCCCTTTATTTAAAAGTCATATTCTAGGGGTTGGAAGGAGATGGCAAAAGTGTCTGAACAAAATTCACAATTGATTTTTACTTAACTTGTCTTTACTTCATTGTCCTACAAATAAATCAAACTCGTCCATTTTACTGCATATTAGAATTTGATATGGGCTACATCTAATCGATTAAGTTATTTCACTAAAGTCCAGGTTCACAAAATTTAGGCGGTTCAAGGGAAAGTCCCCCCACCACCTTTTATCGGCTTTATGTATGTTGCAACTGATTGACGTTTTGACAAATCTCAGCTGTTGAGCTATGTTTTAATTGTAGGATCAAGCCGTGGAGGGGATAAATTTCTTTCCCTAAAACCGCCTACATTTTGTGAATGAAGTACAATATTGTACCATAAGGTTATACAGTAGACCCCCTCTTAACCGACCTCGTATTAACCGATAATCGGATTATCCGCCTTAAATCGTAAAATAATACAGTTTGTTTTAACCGACCTTGCTTTTAGAGCAGCTCGGTTTAACCGCCGCTTTCTAGGAATCTCGGCACTTCCGCTCCCACGCTGGGCGATGAGAACTGATCCCTACGCTTATCTCCACAGGATATGACTAAGAATAAGTTATTTTGTGTTTATCACAAAAAATATAGCACAGCCTATTGTCAGTTTGTCATCATCGTTCGTAGCTCGAGCGCATCTGATCTGTTTGTTATCTGTGCGGCAAATTTATAACATCGAAACAACGCAACTTGTTGGGAGGGCAGGGGGGGGTTAACAACTCCAAGGTCAAGATAGTTTTTGTGCCTCGAGCCTCCAGTGAGAGGCTATAAATAAACGTCCTGTCTTGTAACAAAATGGTTGCTTGTATATTTAATTTTTACAAAAGGTTCTGTACTGTATTACGATGGATTTGTAAAGCATCAATTAATAAATTACAGTACTAAAGTTATTAAAATAGGAATTTTATTGACTCTTGCCTAGTATTATAATATATTCCACTGAAAGTAGGCCTATTTGACTTAACCGTGTTTTGTGTTTATTAGTGACTTTTCTATCAATACGAAAAAGGAGATAAGAGTAGTTTATTTTATAAATAATGCAATTATGATTTCAGAATAGTGATTATACAGGGTGTCTCAGACCACCCGGCCGGCTTGTATAGCTCCAATATGAAAGCAAATGGAAACCTAATTGCAACTGGAACCCCCTATTTTGACCCCAAGGAATTCAGCTAAATTATTTTCAACCCCAAAAAAGCACCCCAAAGGGCAGATTTTGGGGGGTTGGGGTGGTTTTTGGGAAATTTTCAAATGTAAAGGGGGGTCGTGTTATACCTCTTTTTAAAGGTCCTTTAGTCCTGAGTATTTTAGTGGAAAAAGATTTAAATTATCTTCATTCATATTTACAGGGTGTTCAAAAACGTACAAAAAATAGACCTTTGAACTACTTTTCACTGTAAAGAGGTGGAATTTCGTGGGGGGTTCAAATTTTTAAAACACTTTAATTGCTAAATGAGCTTTCAAAAAACTCTGGTTTCAACCCTTTTGCTATCTTTTTACTTATGTTACGCATTTTCAAACTTTTTCAAGTTTCAAAAGCTGTTATCTCAAAAATTTCAAATGGCAACATGGGTTTCATTACAAACCACATTGTAGCCCTTAAAATTTGCTATAATTTTTGTATTTAATGTTTTTTGGTATCTTCATTGGTTAAAGAGATATAGCGAAATTAGTGTATTTTAATGTTTTATTAAATGGTTTTCAAAGTGTATGCTGTTGTAAATGTACACGTCTAGGTCTCAATTGAAACTACTTATGTAAAAAAATTAAAATACATTACCCAGATTGTTAAACTTGGAGGATTAATAAAGGAAAGAACACAACTGCAAATATTCTTAGTTATTTTACAATTACAAAGTTCTAATAGTGCTTTGAATGAATACTGTCTATAAATGCTATTGGTAAATAAAAAAAATCATCATGAAATCAATGAGCGTGTGCGTGAAACTGGTCACGTTTGATCAGATAAAACAAATTATAAGGAGCTTACTGGACCTGTACGAGAGGTGAATGCACCTGCGGTAGTAAAATATCAATACAGTACCATAATAGTGGAGAAGAATTACTACGTGCATATAAACAGAGTTGGGGTTTGCATGGATCAAAATGGAAGGCAATTTAAGCATTTGTAGAAGTCCATCGGTATGTAGGCTATTAATGCTGGTTCAAATAAATCATTCATTCAAAGTACTATTAGAGCCATGGAATTGTAAAATAACTTAGAATATTTGCAGTTGTGTTCTTTCCTTTATCAATCTTCCAAGATCAACAATCTGAGTACTATTTTATTTTTTAGACAAAATTAGTTTTAATTGAGACCTAGAGGTGTACATTTACAACAGCATACACTTTGAATACCATTTAATAAAACATTAAAATACACTAATTTCGCTATATCTCTTTAACCAATGAAGATACCAAAAAACATTAAATACAAAAATTATAGCAAATTTTAAGGGCTACAATGTGGTTTGTAATGAAACCCATGTTGCCATTTGAAATTTTTGAGATAACAGCTTTTGAAACTTCAAAAAGTTTGAAAATGCGTAACATAAGTAAAAAGATAGCAAAAGGGTTGAAACTAGAGTTTTTTGAAAGCTCATTTAGCAATTAAAGTGTTTTAAAAATTTGAACCCCCCACGAAATTCCACCTCTTTACAGTGAAAAGTAGTTCAAAGGTCTATTTTTTGTACGTTTTTGAACACCCTGTAAATATGAATGAAGATAATTTAAATCTTTTTCCACTAAAATACTCAGGACTAAAGGACCTTTAAAAAGAGGTATAACACGACCCCCCTTTACATTTGAAAATTTCCCAAAAACCACCCCAACCCCCCAAAATCTGCCCTTTGGGGTGCTTTTTTGGGGTTGAAAATAATTTAGCTGAATTCCTTGGGGTCAAAATAGGGGGTTCCAGTTGCAATTTGGTTTCCATTTGCTTTCATATTGGAGCTATACAAGCCGGCCGGGTGGTCTGAGACACCCTGTATAATTCCAAATGAATAGCACTTCATTATGTTATGATTTTAGGGATTGTCCGTTTTATCCGACCTTTTGAGTTATCCGACCTAGGTCCGGTCCCATTAGGGTCGGTTAAGAGGGGGTCTACTGTATTGTAAATTAATTTGACAGAACACCCAATAGTATTTAATAACTTATGTAGTAATGTAGGCTATGTAATAAAAATATGTAACCAGTATTTAGGATTTTTAGCACAATATCCTAAGCAGTCCTAAATTTTGTGATCAGAGTATATAATATTGTGCCTTTACCCTAGATCTGGCAAATACTGAAATCCTGTGGTGTCAGAGTTTTTTTGTGCACTTGGTACTTGTAATTAACTTACTTTATGCTATAAAATATTTATTTTGGAAAAAAAGTATATACATATATTATTATTATTATTATTATTATTATTATTTTATGGCCAGCATTGGACCACTTAAGTCAATATAATGGTTAGATTCTTTTTAAATTCTGTCTCTTCTTCTTGTCCGCCCAATACTTCTTCATTCTTTCCGACCGTTGTTTTCTTTCTTCTTCCGAAACCACTCTTCCTTGTCTCTGATTGTTTGCTCCTATTGGCAGGATGATATTTCTGTCTTTGAGTACTGCAAGCGCCTCTGACTTATTTTCCAAATCTTCTAATGATATTTTCCACCTTCTCATGTCCTCCTTAATCTCTGTAATCCACCTAAAGTCACTCTTGCTATTCCACAACTCGTCAATTATTTTCTTGCTTATTCTATTTTCCGGTGTCCTTAAAAGCTGTCCTATGAATGAAATTCTTTTCTTTTTAATTATACTTGTCAATGGCTCTATTTCCTTATATACAGTTTTATTAGAGGCCAGTCTCCAAACTCCATCTTTTTGATATTTTTTGTTCATACATGTTCTGATGATTCTTCTTTCTATTTTTACTATTTTATCTATTGCTACAGTGTTAGTTGTTTTAAATATAGTTTCACTTGCATATGTTATTTGTGGAAGTAGCCTATAACTGCTTTGTAGTGTTTCAATTTTGTTGCTATTGATAGGCATTTTTTGTTGTATGTGTTTTTAGTAATAGGTTGCACTGGGATCAATTTATTAATTCTATTTTGCCATGATGGATTTTCTTTAAGATTGTATGTTATAACTTCACCTAAGTATTTGAAATTTTCTACAATTTTGATGCAATGTTCTCCAATTATGATTTTGTTAGCCAATGGTGGTTTTGTTAACATTATTTCAGTTTTCTCAAAAGAAATTTTTGGACCTATGCTCTGGGCTATTTCCTGAAGTGGTTTTATTTGTTGCTTGGTTTCTTGGATGTTATTCGCTAGAAGAGCTAGATCGTCAGCAAATCCTAAACAGTTTAACTTTATGTCATCTTTGTTGGCGAATTTCCCTATAGGGAAGTAGCTATTACCGTAGGTCTCATGGTAAGACTTAGGCCCGGGACCGATTTACTTTTTCATTTTAATGTCCCCAGAGGCCAAAATACCATTCGTTCAAATTTTTATATATGTATATATATATATAGATATATATATATATATATATATATATATAGATTTATATATATATATGTGTGTCCGTGAACATGATAACTTGAGTAATTTTTATCCGATTTTGATAAAATTTGGTTTGAAGGTGTAAGGCGGGATAAACTTGAATGAGTTCGCGATCCAGCATGATCGGACCATGGGAACAGGGTTTTATGGGGGGGTTTTATGGGGTAAAAATTGGTTTTTCTCACTTCTTACCCTCAAAACACAAAATTTCCCAATTTTTCTCTAAACCTTCTTAAAGAGCTTAAAAAAACAAACAATTCAGTATATCATTGTGTTTTTGTACGGTTATTGGTTACGGAGAAAACTAAAAAAATGGTAAATTTAAAATTCCCATGTTATTCTTATGGAGAATATTGTAAAATGTTGTAGTTTGCTTGTTTATGGATATATTTTGATCAAACTTGGCAAATTTATTTTATAGTAAGCTATCAATATTTTACTAAAAACACACTACTTTATTAGTTTCCTTGTAGCAGCAAACCTAGGTACTCGTTAAACCTAATGTTATTTAAATAGATCAATTAAAAATCAATTCGGCCAAATGGAAATTCGCTTAGACGGCAGGTTTGCTGCGGCGGGGGTATTTGTTCCAACAGTAATATCTTTTGGGTTTGTTTTAAGCCATCCCCTCATAATGTATTCAAGTGCACAATTAAAAAAAGTGGTGAAAGGCCATCTCCCTGTCTCAAACCAGTTTTGACCAGGAAAGGTTCTGATATTTCTCCTCTAAATTTAATTTTATTGGAGGTATTTGTCAAGGTAAGTTCTATAAGTTTTATTAATTTTGGGTGGAGTCCGAAATGTCCGAGAATCTTTAACAATGATGGTCTATGGATGGAATCGTAAGCTTTCTTAAAATCTACAAATGTTATTGAAAGAAGTTTGTTTCGTTTTCTGTAGTAATCCATAATCAATTTCAGCGTAATTATTTGTTCTGCACAGCTCCTCCAAGGTCTGAAGCCTCCTTGGTATTCTCCTAGTTCATTATCAAGTTGTTCCTTAATCCTATTGTATAAAATTTTTGAAAAAATCTTATATGTGCAATCCAAAAGTGAAATTCCTCTATAGTTATCCGGGTTGCTCTTATCTCCTTTCTTGTGAAGTGGATTGATTACGGCTGTGGTCCAATGCTCTGGGAATTTCTCGGTTATCCAGATTTTTTGTAATATCATATGTAGAGATGTTTTTGTTGATTTGCCCGTATACTTTCACATTTCTGGATAAATTTGATCCTCACCAGATGCTTTATAATTTTTCATATCTTTTAGTGCTAATTCTACTTCTTGTATTGTAGGTGGGTTTAAATTTTCTGGATTTGTTTTTATGGGAGTGTTCGTATTTATTGTTAAAAGATGTTTAGGTTCTTCGCAGTTTAATAGTTTATTAAACGCTTCTGCCATAATTTCTGCATTCTCCTTGTTATTATGGGCAATTTTTCCATCTTTGTTTTTCAATAGCAATGTAGGAGGGGTGTAACAACTTAACTGTTTATTGAATGATTTGAAATAATCTCTAGAATTTGTTTTGAAGTAGTTTTCTTCTATTGATTTCAAAAGATTCTTTTGATATTGTCGCTTTGCATTCCGGATAATTTTGGAGCATTTCTTCCTGATGTTTTTAAGATTTGTGGCATTTTCTTCTGACTTTTAATTTTGAAATCTTACCCAGGCTTTATGTCTTTCTTCAAGAGCCTTGTCACATTCTGTGGTCCACCAAGCATGTTTCTTACGTCGATTCAGTGGGGCTACTTCTTCAGCATGTTGTTTTAAGATTGGTTTTAATTCTTCTAAATTATCAGTTAACTTTATTTCTTGTGTCATGTTCTTATATTGTTCATTTTTTATTAATTTACGTGGGTCATATTTTCTTTTATTCTCATTTACATTTTGTCTCCTTTTTCTTAATGGGGTGAATTTAATTTTAATTTTCACTAGATAATGATCTGAGCCTGTATCAACTCCTCTTAACACCTTAACATTTTGAATTTCTTTATGAAAGGATTTGTCCATGCATACATGGTCCAGCTGCCATTCTCCTTTGGTCCAATCAGGATGTTTCCATGTTTTTAGTTTACTTGGTTTTCTTTTAAAATATGTGGATTTATTGATATGTCCATGCGTTCTGCAGATTTCAACTAGTCTCTGTCCATTTCTATTGGTTTGTTTCTGAGGGGCATATTTTCCAATTACATCCCTGTATTTCTTTTCTTTTCCCAACTGTGCGTTGAAATCTCCAATTAATATCTTAACGTGTTTCTTGTTAATTTGGTTTATTGTCTGATCCAAAAGATCCCAGAAATCTTCTACTTCTTCCATAGTTTTTGTAAGAAAGTTTTTCTCATTTGTAGGGGCATGAGCATTAATAATAGTGTAAATTTTATTTGTTGTTTTTAACGTCAAGGTTGCAATCCATGGTGAAACAGCATTAAAATCAACTATTGAATCTATTACTTTCAAACATACTATGAATCCTGTTCCAAATTGGGGGCACTGTTTCATTACTTTATTTCCTGGTTTTCCATTGTAAATCCTATATCCTTGAGATTCAAAATAAATGGATCTTCTGTTGTATTCCTCATTTCTTGAAGTCCCGCTATAATGATCTTTTGTTTGTCTAGTTCATTCGTTAAGTTCTTGAGCTTACCAGTCTTCAGTAGAGAGTTTATGTTATGTGTCGCAATGTAGTTTACTTGTTTGTGTTTTATTTTGTTTGTACCATTGTGATTAGAGTCAAGTGGTTTCAAGTAATTTGTTTCATGTGAGCCTTTTAGTTGGCTACCCACCAAATCCGATGTAGCCTTCTCCTTCCCAAAGGGGTTGGATGGTGGAAGTTTTCTTCTAAAAGAAAATTATACATAAATATACATATATAAAATATGCATATACATATAAATATATACATATATATATATGTGTATATATATACATATATATACATATATATATATATATATATATATGTATAAAAATATACATATATACATATATAAATTTTCTTTTTCAGTAATGAATGTGGCATGTACTGATATAAAAAGGTTTTGTTTTCGGCAATCCGTTTGTGCACAGCACAAAAAAGTTTACAAATCTTTGGTTTTTTCAAATTACAAATTTTGAAAGCAACCCAAAATTATACTCAAAAGAAATATTTATTTAAATTTTATTCAAATGTAAAAGTTGTAGCAAATTTAATTCCCTATGTCAAAATATTGATTTATTTAAAATGCTCCAAAAAATAACAAATTTATGGATTTTTTCCAAAACTATGTTTTTTTTTTCCTAAAAAATTCATTTGAATGTCATCTGAGGTAAATAAATTTGATAGTTCGTGAAAGAAAATCAAAAATTAAATGTATACTTTTATACCTTATCATTTATAAAATGACTAAGTGATTGACGTCAAAAAGTAAAACTTGAACTTTAGTTTTATAAAAACATAAATTTTTGGGCATTTTCAAAAGGGTGTAACATTTTTATTAGAACTTTTGGATCATGGAATTCTGATTGCTATGGCAACACTTGCAGTTCTTTTTGATTTGCAGTTGTTGATTTGTTTTTCTATAGATTGAAAAAACTGCTGTTTTTGTTGTGAGTTGTGTCTCTCGCCACAAGTTTAATGAGTTTAACTACAGTAGACTCCCTCTTATCCGGACACCTTTTAATCAGATATCAGTATAACTCGACTACACTCGGCGGAAATTACATCTCTTTAACCGGACAAATTTTATCGGCACATCGGTTTAACCGGACTAGATCGGAAGGAAGTGGGCTGTACTGAAACGAATGTTCTCATGGGAAAGATTTGTGACAAGTGATCATGTGTCTAAATACAATGCTCTCCTAAATTTATGTAAAATATTTGGGTTACATAACGAGTTTTTGGGGACGTCGGTTTAACTGGAAAACCCGTTATCCGGACTGGCCTCGGTCACAAGGAGTCCGCATAAGAGGGAGGGAGTCTACTGTAGGTCTTTTTTTTAATGATGTTTGTGACAACATAATAGTTTCAGGAGATAGTGTTTTATATATGGAAAGGAATCCCCAGAACATCATCTTGTTAAATGTATATGTATCAGAGTTTACAACATTTACGCTTTACAACAGTTTTCTGGCTTTAATTTGTCGTAAATACTCAACATGTCATAGTGGTCCATTAATGGATCCTGCCAGTTCACAGTTAAAAAATAGTGGTCCATTTTTGGACCGTTGCCAGACAGAGGGTTCAAGTTATATTGTAAATTAATTTGACAAAATACCCAATAGTATGCAATAATGTATGTAGTAAAGTGTGTAATAATATTATTACAAAACAGTAGCCTATTTGACATTGTTGGAACTATTTCCAAACAGTCAAATCTAGTGCTTTTTTGTACTACTTACTATGTGATTTTCATCAAAGATTCATATGAATTATTCTTTATAGACATGATTTTGTAAGGCTATGCAACCAATATTGGTTGAGTTTACAATGGAATTGCCAAAGTTTGAGTTTAGCATGTTAGAATCAGGGGATCTCTTCTACAGTTCCTCTCACAATTTTTATCATAAATCAAAAACGTTGAACCTTAATACCAAACAGGGCTTGATATTTGCCATCTATTTAAACGCAGGCATCTTTGACAAACAAGATTTAAAATAATTTAAATTCACGTTTTCAGTTCTACATGTGTAAAGGAATAGGTTTAAATGTTGTGCAGTTTATAAATTACTTTTAAGCAGTTGAATAAAAAACAAAAGACATAACGTACCTTAAAATTTAGGGTTTTAAATACCGGTAGGCCATGATTATGATTGTTCTCTAGCATCTGAATATACCTGAGCTAAAACCTACGAGGAACTATACACTTCTACCATCCCCTCCAGACGACAAAAATAATTAAATTAGCAACATGAGAATTTGTTAAAATTCATTGGAGATACACCCAAAACCAAACCTATGCTATAGGGAGTAATATACCTCTTGAACATCATCAGAATCACTTTCCACTTCTTCTACAACAGTGAATTCCTCTGGAATTTGAATTTCTTCTTCTTGTTTCTTATCTTCAACCTCTTCATTATCCCCTGTGGAAAAGCTGGTTCGAACACGAAGTGGCCTACTTGGTGGTGTAGTTATAGTTGGGGGAGGAGCTTCATCTAGCTCAGGCACATCATCTAAAACATTTTCAGCATACTAAGTAATCAAATATGGTTAGCTGAACAAAATGATTCAATTTCATTAGTAAACTTATTGGTACAAAGGCCAAGCAATACCTAATCAATACCTACCATAAACATAGTAAATATTACTGTAAAATGCCATATTGTTTTATTGATGGAATTCTACTTTTATTTCTGTGTTATTTATAATTTGTTTAACTATTAGGGGTCTGTTCTGCGGTACAGAAAATTAAGGGTAGATAGGGTACATTGTATAGTAAGTAGCCTACATAGGTTCTCCAGTACGTGTACGATGTTACCGGTATCCAAACAAATTTATTTAGGATTGCATTTAAACTATAATTTTTAATTTTAATACATTGACATTACTACTAATGTGAATCGAATGGCTACTATCCATCAATAATAACCACACATTATTAAACCTTTTAGTCCTAACAGGATTGTGTAAAGAAAGAAAAAAATTTTCAATAAAAGATTTAATCTGTTTCATGTCTAAGATAACTCTTAGCATAGCCATTGTATAGAGGTTTTAAAATTAGGTTAAAGCATGTTTGGGAACTTAACACATTGAGTGCGAGCCGGCCACCAAGGACCGGCCGCGGGACGCACGCCAAGATGCCGCTGAAATAAATCAGTCAGTGTGGCGCAATCTTTGTGGAAAGGACTGGAATTATTTTGTGTGCATTGGTAGCATACTGTGCGTTTCGCCGACCGTTCCTGCGGACTGGACTGGTGCTGGTACCCAGAGACCGATAAATTCCCACTTGCACAGTTTATTGACTTTGGACATATATTGATGTACCGGTATTTCTTTTGTGTTTTTACTTTTTATACTACACAAAAAGGTATTTTATTTATAAAATCTGAAGAATAGGTAATCCACTTTAAAACTTAAATAAATCCTCTGGTAGAAAGCACTATTTTGTTTGTAGAACCTTTTATTGCCGATTATCTTGATAGTGACTTTGACTTTCTATAATTAAAACTTATTTAGTCTAGCTTGAAAAATAACTATGCACCTGGCCTAGATAGGGTTCCCTATGAGTTTTTTTAAGAAAGCCCAAGACCTATTTTTGACTGCACTACTTGGTATATATAATTCAAATTTTTTGGAATAAGGTCATACCATAAATCTTGGTAAAATATTGATAGAAATGCTAAATAATGGATTTAAAAATTGGGTCAATGATAGCCACATTTTTTTGAAGTTTCAGACAAAACTATTCCACTATAGATAATACTTTTAATTTGGCATCGATGGATGATGATATTAAACTATGTATGGCGGAGAAAGGTGGCAATCAATACTATTGGTAGAAGATCAATGAAATTAAAACTTTTATCAATCGGCGTCCCAAATCATGTTTTAGATGTAATTTTGAGGGAGCTATTATTGTAACACGTCTGCAGCGGTTTGGTGTAAGAGAGACATTTTAAATGAGTTTGAAAACAAAGCTACAAAACTAGCTTAAGGCAAGGATGTATAGGAAGTCCTTTCCTGTTTAGCTTATATTCATAAACGATTTGCCAGAGGTGCTGTAGGTGGCTGTAATTTCGGTGGTGTGCGTTCAGAGTAAATGTTTTCATGTATGCAGACAACACTGTGCTGCTCCCCTCCATAGCAATAGGGCTACAATTGATGATTAAAAACTTGGGAGTATTTAAATTTAAAATCAGTGCAACCTGGAACCTGGAACCTTACACTGATTCTGTTGAAATCCAAAATAATGGATTTCAGGAAAGGTGGTAGATTATTGGTACATGATTGAAGGGGGTATAAGGGCAAACAGGTTAAAGTGTTTAATAGCAGGGTGTCCACAAAAGATTTGTCATTAATTTCCATGACTTTCCATGACTATCCATGACCATTTACCATTGATTTCCATGACTCACAAACTTTACACGCAAATTATAATATAACATACACACACAAATAATCTTGCCTTGACATGTTATTTTGCAGAAAATACTGAATATGTAATAACAGATAACAATGGAGTACAATAGGTACAACAATGAACTAAAACAAACCGAAAACTCATAAAATAATACAACTGTAATAAATTGAATTGTCGAACATTTGTGAAAAATCCTGAAAAATGCTACAACAGTCCGGGTTACGGCTGGCTAGAGCATTGAATGGTCCCCTCAAATCCATCCATAATTGGAAATTTCCATGACTTTCCATGACTTCTTGCCTATTTCCCTGACTTTCAATGACCAAAACTTTTTTCCATGACTTTCCATGACTATCCCTGACTTTCCAGAATGTGGACACCCTGAATAGTTATAAATATTTGGGAATGTTATTTGGTACAACAAAAATGTCATTGGAAAAACATTTCATAGAGAAGAGGCTAACTAAATGCAATAAATTCAGTATGGCAAAGGCTGGTAGACAACAACAAAGTTCCGCTGCAAATTAAAATATCATGTTTCAAATATATTCTCAGAGCTATATATTTTTTTGAAGAACATTGAAATTGTTTACACTGATCGTCATTTTAAATAATCCTGAATTAGGTTTAAAAAGTTTATACCGTACCTAATGTATCAGATGAAAACTTACTGTAAAGCCTAAGCATATTTTTAATTAACTGTTGTGTATTAGTGTGCTCACGATTAGTAAAATTATTGAAAGCAAATAACAAATTTCAAACAATATTACTCTACTTGTCTAAAGATCCAAATAGAAACCGTTCATAATTCAATTAGTCTGGTGTCTTAAGTTTTCCTCTGGTTAAAATTTCTTACTTGAATTAGAAGAATCCTTCACAGATTCATTCGTAGATCCTCCTTTTGTTGCAGAATCAACTTCACCATTTAAATCTTCTTCTTCAATCTTGGTTGAATCCTGTAGACAATTCCAAATTAAAACTGTCAGTGATAACATTTTATCAAGTCATGGACAATTAAAAACATAATTTAAGAATAATGAAATTTTCATATTATGGAATTTGTCAAAGATATCATTGTTGTAGCAACTCCACCATAAGCCTATTGCGGTCACACATAGGAATTAAGTGAGATTCCCAAAGAGAATTTGTAAGAGAATGAGGCAACAAAGACTGCTTACTTTGATATGAAGAGGTCAAGTGTTTTGTTTGAGTTTTGGCAGTTCTCTCAAAATGTAATATTTAAGAAGAGAGTGTGCGAGTAGTATTTTGAGTTAGTGATTTTGAGTTGTATTTCTTAAAGAAATTACAAATAAAAATGGTTGTCTCTCATCTACTGTCTAGTGAATTTATGAGTCGGTTTGAGTCAAGTCGAGTTTACAAGAAACCCACCGGATTCGATCTTTTTTTTTTGATGACTGTTATTTGTTTTAAAATAAAGCCTGTAATACTTCGTAATTGCTCGAATTGGAGCAACAGATACACTAGTTCACTTTATATTGTTACTACATACATTTATCAAAAACAACGGTAACTAACTTCCAATGCAAATAAATGTATGTTTTCACGTCATAACTTTAAAAATATACTTTTTTAGATTTTTTATTTGATATACCTCATTGGGAAGATGGAAATAAAACAAAATATAAGAGATGCTTTTCAAAAGATAATGTAAACCTATTTCTTGAATCACTTAAAAGTGAAAACTGGAATGAAGTTTATTTTTCATGTGTGGAGAAGAAGCTAGAGTAACAAAAAACAAGGAGTTGAAGAAATATGTTAAAGAGAAAAACAAGTTATATAGGAAACTGTTAAAAGAGTCAAAAACCAATTTTTATAATAAGCAGATAAATGAATCAGAAAATGTCATTAAAACAACTTGGAAAATAGTAAATACTGAGGTTGGAGTTCTGCCCAAAAACAAACTATTGAAAGAAACTAACTTGCTCAATGACTAGGCCTATTTAGAATCACATGGTTTATATAATTAATTAAATCACGTGTATGATTGTTTTATCTTAAAAAAAACATGTTTCTGTAAACACAGTTAATAATAAAGTTTAACAACTATTAATCAATTATATTTTCTTTCTTTATTTAAAAGGTTATGGGCCCAGCACGCTTCCACTGCGTTACATTGTCAACCACAGAAGCAGAGTTCGTTGCTGCGAGTGAGGCTTCTAAGCAAATTGTATGGTTGAAAACTATGTTGGGTGAGATATATGGTCCAGAAATCAAGGCTGTTCTTTTTGTAGACAACGCTGGAGCTGTTCGACTAGCTAGGAATGCTGGAGAGTTTCATAAGCGGTCAAAACACATTCATATGAGATACCAGTATGTACGTGAGCAATGTCTTGCAGGTACATTTGATGTACGTCACGTGTCTGGGAATGACCAACTAGCTGATTTCCTAACGAAAGGCCTACCAGTGTCCAGATTGAAAACCCTGTTGGAGCGTGTTAGTTTGAGGGCATATTGAAAGAAACTAACTTGCTCAATGACTAGGCCTATTTAGAATCACATGGTTTATATAATTAATTAAATCATGTGTATGATTGTTTTATCTTAAAAAAAAACATGTTTCTGTAAACACAGTTAATAATAAAGTTTAACAACTATTAATCAATTATATTTTCTTTCTTTATTTAAAACAAACAAAATCTAGAATTGACTGTAGATAGTAAGAATGTATCTGATGTTTTAGTTATAAGTAATTTGTTAAACAATTATTTTATAAACTGTATAAAAGATCCTAAACAAAACCAGATATAGAACCTAGTGTACAGAAAAATAGTCTTTCAAGTAGTCTCTTTCCTCATTTTCAGACTTTTCGCTGTGAGACCACGGATGAAAACGAAATTATTAAAATATTAGATTCTTTAAAAAATAAGCAATCATATGGGTTTGATGAAATTCCTGTAACTATAATATTATCTACAAAAATACACCTATGTAAAATCTTAGGTTATCTGGTCAACTCTTCTTTAATATCTGGCATTTTTCGTACCTATACATAAAAAAGATTCTACAAAAGACATGTCAAATTATCGTCCAATTTCGATTCTGCCATCTTTTTCAAAAATTTTTGAACAAGTCATGTACAGAAGATTATTCCAATTCTTAGAAAATTCAAACATTCTAGATATGTCCCAGCACGGTTTTCGGCCTGGAAAATCGGTTTTCACTGCAGCCGTTTCATTTATTGAATCCATCATAGAGTCCATAGATAAAGGGGGGAACGTAGTGGGCATCCGGACTAATGTGGCGGACGTCCGGTCGAGGACGTCCGACTATCGAGAGTCGAGCAAATACACAGTACTGTATATAGCAGTTTTTCAATTTAGTTCCAGGTCCACAGTAATGATAGCCGGGCATATGCACTTCCACCGGTAATAATTGTTTTGGCTGAATTTTGTTCCAGGTCCACATGCACTTCCACCGGTCATAATTTTTTCGGCCGAATTTTGTTCCAGGTCCACAGTAATGATAGGCGGGCATATGCACTTCCACCGGTAATAATTGTTTTGGCTGAATTTTGTTCCAGGTCCACAGTAATGATAGCCCGCGCATATGCACTTCCACCGGTCATAATTTTTTCGGCCGAATTTTGTTCCAGGTCCACAGTAATGATAGCCCAGGCATAGGCCACCAGGCATATATCACCACCGGTAATAATTTTTACTGTTGTGTTATCCAATTTTTTTTTGTTATTCGAGGTAGTCTCGGTCCCATTTTGCTCGGATAATCGGACTTCTACTGTACTGTGACGCTAAAAAAATCACGATTGCCGATCCGGACTACCGGGAGTCCGGACAAGGCCGATCCGGATGAGCGAGAGTCTACTGTATTATTTAGAAGATAAAATTAGCAGTTTATTATTTATTTGGTAATTTTTACATCCACGTATACTGTAGTATACGGAGAAAGTATGTTTGATGTCAAAACGTTCGCGTTTTGAGTTCTAGGTGGAAATATCCGTTTTGTAGCCCCCTGAATCCAAAAGGAAACAAGTATTTTAGAAGTTGTGTGTGTGTGTGAGTTTGGGTGTGCGTGTGTGTCTTTGCGTAAAATTAAATTACGGCCAGAAACATTTTATTAAAATTTAGCATGTTATGGTCGTTTCAACTCTAAACCCAATGATACAACCTCCAACGCTGTAAACATTACAGTACTGGTAGGTCACAGTTATCGACGACTCGACTTTGGAAGTAGCCTTCCTGGAGGTGAAATCGGGCGAGTACCCGTAAGCTCACGGAGACACTCTAGAGGAATGTAACTTTCCGCAGTGTGAGGGCAATGGCTGGGCGCACTCCATCAGCCAATCCCTGTCTCTGAGACCGGAAGGTATGGTTATCTAGAGTGTGGGGGGTTCTCCCTGGAACCTCAATTGAGCTAAGGGTGTCGCCACCTTTGGTGGATTGGTTCATCCGGGTGGGACCCACTTCTATTCCTGCCTCCTTTTGGGAAACCCTGATGGCCTAGCAGTGATGTTGGGTTAGATGGGCAAACGAAGTAGGGTGCTGGGTTCAAGCCCGCTGGGGGTGTTCGGGATCTATCGCCTTTGTCACCTCTAGTTTCCCAGCAACTGGGTAAGGCCTATATCGGGTAGTGGTGGTAACAGGTGGTTGGGGTTCACCCGGCAGCTTGCTGGCGGTCCCCTTCTTCCTGGCTTTGATGGCGGGTTCTGCCTGTTAGGGATTAGATAGGTCCCGAGTGTTGCTTGCACTAAATGCGTCAGGGCATTCCACTATGGTTCTTCAGGGTGTCGTACCTGGGGGAACCCAGGTGGAGTGGGCGCTTGACCAAGTAGTCGGTATCCCTGGTAAGGATTGAGGGGCAACCCTCTTTCCGATGGGAGTTGCCGTTGGCAGCCGATGAGCTTGATGGCCTTAAGTCATCCACCTCACGGTGTGCTCAGGGTTGGTGCGTAAGCTCCGGCCTACGCCATGGGGCGTTGAGGATATGGGGGTTGTAGGAGTCGAGGTTGTGTTAAGGATATCCGTGTACCGGGTAGTCGTCGGGGAGCTTTGGTTCTCTCAACAAAAAAAATTTAAATGAAATTAAAAAGTACCAGTATAAAAGTTGCAATTTACGTGATTTTCTCCATAAAATATCATAGTTACGGCAAACGGTATCAGCCATCTGACATACTTCCTTCCATTAGCTCGTCATGGGCAAGCTATTGGAAGGAAGTATGCCAGATGGCTGATACTGTTTGCCGTTTATTGCATATTTTTTGTAAAATTAAATACCCCCACCGCAGCAAACCTGCAGACTAAGCGAATTTCCATTTGCCTGATTGGATTTACACTAAAATGTCTCCTTAAAAATATCACATTTATTCCCTATTAAAATAACAATAGTTAAACGAGTACTTAGGTTTGCTGCAACAGGGAGGGTAAAAAGGTGTTTTTTTTTGTAAAATGTTAATAGTTTAGTATGAAATGAATGCATTTCCCAAATTTGATCAAAATATGATCATAAACAAGCAAACTACAACAGTTTACTTATTCTACATAAGAATAACATGAGAATATTAAATTTACAGTAACCATTAGGCGCATAATAACGCTTCAATATAGGCCTACTAAATTATTTGTTTTTTTAAGCTCTACAAAATGGTTTGGAAAGAAAATGCTAAATTTTAAGTTTTTAGGGTCAAAAATGGGAAAAACCAATTTTTGCCCCATAAAACCCCCCATTAACTCCTGTTCCCATAGTCCGATCATGCTGGTTCGCGAACTCTTTCGAATAAACGTAGGTTTACACGTTTGTACCAAATTTCATCAAAATCGGATGATTTTTGCTTGAGTTATCGCGCTATATATATAGGGCCTATATATGAATTTGAACGGATGGTGTTTTTGGTCTCTAGGGACCTCAAAACGAAAAAGTAAATCAGTCCCGGGTCCAGGTCTTACCATGAGTACTACGGTAATAGCTTATTCCCTATAGGGGAAATTCGCTAAAAGGGTCAACAGTCTTAAGTTGGGTACAAGCAGCAGAATCACAGCGGCATATCAGTGCTTCACAGTAGACCCCCGACACAATTGAAGCAGTGTACTGGAGAAACCAAAGTGATGTTAGTGGTGTAGCTGCGTTTAGTCAAAACACACTAGCCAGATTAATTTTTAAGCTAATCCAAGTCTAAAAGCACCAGTGATTGGGCACAAAGTCAGAAAATCAAGCGGTGCCATGCTTTATTCTTGCAATCACAGAAAGCGTCCAAGATTGAACGGTAAAGAATTTCTAAAATTGCTGTGATTACAACAATTCACAACGTACCACCACAGTAGACTCACCATACCACCAGTGGTACTGGTAAATACTAGGCTAGATGATCAAGATAATTAACTGTGAATCTACGGTTTATCAAGAATCAATACACAGTATTTCCTCGATAGGCCAAAATACTATGAGTAGACCTATATCCTATCAAAAGTTTTATGGAATTAAGTATCACAATTAAGCCCATCCCTATTTGTAAGGTCTGGCCTTCACGGCTTAGGCCCAGCACACACGGTGTGACTGTTTTACAATTGTCGTTGCAAACCAGTTGCGCGTGCAACTGTTTTGTGACCTCGGCAATGTATTGCAGTGGGGAGGCGCACACAAAGCAACTGGTTGTATGCGATTTCAAAAAATGTTTGAAACCAGTCACATACAACCGTGGGCCCGACGTTGCAGTTGCGTTGCACCAGACCACCGGGGGTTTTTGTGGTGTTTGGTGGTAATTTTGGTGGTATTTTGAGGCCGTAGTGTTCTTAGTGATTATAATTTCCTATACGACTAGCTCTAGCTTCTACAAACAGCCTAGTACTAACATTCTTGCTCAAATCAGGGGGAACCCAATGCTCTCTCAGTCCCCTTCGCTGTCTTCAGTATTGATAATAGCCAATAACGTCTTCTTCGTCCGAGTCTGACGTAGAAAGCGCACTTAAGGCCTTAAAACAATTTAACTGCACTAAATTGACACTACACTGATTGCACAATAGACGCAACTGTAGTTAAAAACAGTTACACCGTGTGCGGACAGAAGCTTTCTTTCAGTTACAAACTGGTTTCAGACGCAACTGGTTTGCAACAGTTGTTGTAAAATAGTCACACCGTGTGCGCTGGCTGGGCCTTAGGCTATTTCAGGTTTTTTTTCAAGTTTGACCAAATTCATTGCTCATTCACGGTTTTACAGTTAAGTAAGTAGGCCTACCATTTTTCAAATAAGCTTAGGGCCTTCTAGTACTTGAATACAATTTATGATTTTTGAATATGGTAGGAATAAATTAGAATAGGGATGTTGCAATACTATCGATACCAGTAGGTATCGATACTTTTATTGCGATACTGCTGGTATCGTATCGGTATCGGTTGTTCCGATATTTACTTGGTATCGATACCAAGAGGCCAGTATCGTATCGTAAGTATCGGAAGGTAATTTCTGACAAATCTGAGTAAAATAGCCACGCTCTTGTCTTCTGAGCGGTTATTTTCCAAGGCTGGAGCAACAGTGACCCAAAAAAGAAACAAACTTTAACCCAATTAAATATTTTTTTTATCTAGCTTGTCTGATATGAGGTTTGAGTAAATTATGATTCACTATTCATTCATAGAACTTTACATAACTATAAGTAAAACCATTGACTATATATACCTACAGACGTATATTTAGTCAATGATACAACTTAAGGGTTTGGTTGCAGAGTTATTTTTATTACAAGTCAATGTTAGCAAAAGCAACGTTGTGTTAGGCAAATAAAATGAAACCATGGACTCTTTAACATCAAATAAACTAAAAAGATGGTACTTAAAGTTATTTAACTAAAAAAACTTTTTTTAAAATTTAGGCTGATGGTAAACACGAATGTGTTACATTGGTATTTTAATAACATTGTCTATTGAAAAGATAAATTATATAGGCCTAGAACATAAGGTAAGCTTAGGCCTACTTGAACTTTTACTTGAAGGTAAAATTGAAAACAAAGGTTGGCTATGTTTGGTTAATTTTAGAATTTTATCAATGTTTTACATATTTAGGTAGTTTTTAGCAGCTTGAATTCGAATCTTATATTGGCTGCACTGTACTGGAACGAGTGAACTTTAATCGAAGATCAGTGAATCAGGATATGATGTCACTGGTATCGAATGGATACGATACTGACGGTATCGATACTTTAGTTCCGATACTGAGCCGTTATCAATACTTTTTTGCGATACGGTATCGATACCAATTATCGGAAAGACAGTGGTATCGCAACATCCCTAAATTAGAACAGGTTCAGTAAGCTTTGAACTTAAATAAATACATTTTTACCTGGAAATTAAGAAATCTTACCTTAATTGGTTCATCAAGAGATTTCCCTGAATCATCGACACCATTTTCAGATGTAGATTTAACACTGGTTGAGTTCTTCCTGGACCCTAGCCTTGAACTTGCTCTTGTAGTTCTGGTTTTAGTAATTTCTGTTAACAAGGAATGCAACAGTTAAACCACGAGGACTAAAAAGTAAAATGATTAATAGTTTTACTTAAAACTAAGTTAAAAAAATGTTTGGTTAAGTGAATGGGGGAAACAGTATCTGACTCCAAGGATTATCAAACAAAATAAAAGTATTGATTTGATCAATAACCAAACTTAAACTTACCGGTACCCAAACTTTCAATATTGATTGTAACAATCAATAATACTATGGTGCCAGACAGTTTTGCTTTTTTTACGAGGGCAGATTTTTAAGTCAGGGCCGTTTTTACGTCATAAATCCGTAGCTGCAACAAGCTTTCTCGCCGCTTGCTGGCATCATTTGTGAACAGATCATTGCTACAATTTCCAGCTCTGTTACTATGTATGCTTCGCTGTGTGTTTTTAAATATGTTAAAGCCATCGAATCTCCCGCTACAGTAATGCGAGAAAAGGTCAGTACTTAATACGATTACAATAAACATATCCAATGCCGACATCCATTGCCAGATGACTGAAGGCTTTGGCTCTAATGCAATGAGTGAGGGTTAAGTGTGGAAATGGGTTATGGAGTGTAAAAACGGCCGTGAAATCCTTTTTCCTGTTGTGGTCTTCTGTGAGAAGTCTGGATGCTCACAAAAACACACAATTCCTTCCTATATGCCTATGACATTTTCACGGCCATTTGTAAACTCAAGTTTCTCAAAAAACTTCAGTCAAGTGGCGATGAATGTCAGCATTGGATATGTTCCTAGTAGTAAAAAACGTATTTAACCAACCTTAATTCTACACAATTAATACACAATAACAGTCCTAAAAACCCACCGCTCATATTTTATTACTCTTTTAGTTATTCTTAGAATAAAATTGTGTAGGTCTACAGAAGTTGGATATTGAAGTAGCCTATTAGAGGAAGTTTGGTTAGGTTAGGCTATTTTCCGGATAGATTTTTTGTTGAATTTTCTTATCTGTGGAACATTTATGCCTAATTCCTCAATACAGTCTTCTCTTGGTAATTTAAACACTTAATACATCAAAACTTACAAAAATTAAACATTTAAAAGGTCAGTCCTTGTAATATTTCAAAGTTTTTCCATGCATTTTGATACACTTGGTAATTCAAAGTCCAAGCAGAGGGCAGGCCGGTTTGAAGCACGCAGTAATTCTAATTTTTTTTGGCAAAATACTCTATAGGCCAATTCGAAGGGAGTCATTCCTTCATGTCATAATAAGAAACTATACATCCCATTAGCACAGTGGTTCGTCTTCAATCATGTCATTGATGACGCAAGGATCATGGCTAAAAGCAAACAAAAATAACAGATTTGTTGTAACTAGGCCTAACTGAAACAATAAGCTGTTGTTTGTAGTAAAGTAATTAAAATAAGCTGTTTAATGTTCTGTGCCTTATATAATACAATGTTTACTTACAAAATTAACTTTTAGTACCTAGCCTAGTTATACCGGTTTATTTTTCTTCCATTAAATTGAACCACTTGATAATTCAAATTTATTTGCTTGGCCCACCAAGAGTCTCCTGTACGTACAAGTTATAGCCTACAATTTTTACACAAACTCAATACCTCAGGAATCATGATTTTTCATACACGATTATTCTGGGCCATTCATATTTCCAGATCTTGTGCAAGCTTCAACACCAAGTCTTTGCGGTCTCACAGCCGTTTTAGAAAAGTTCCCCTCAACTCGAATGGCCAGCTCTGCTGGACATAACTATGTTCTACACCAGCTCGTCATTGTTTACGTAGCGCCATGCCTCTAAGGTCGTATGGCCAGCACTGCTGGCCACTAGTGATTTCGTAAGGTTGTCCGGGCAGCATAGTTGGCCATTCGACAAACTTTTTTATAAGTGGTTTAGTATTTCTCTGGTTGATTGCACCACTAAATAGAGACAATACTCCAATTAAAATTTTAGTTTGTAAGGTTTCCAGCCCTGTGTTTAAAGCTAAATTTTCACGGTAAAATAACCTCAACTCTGAGTGTATTACTGTGATGTTGCCATGTGAAGTGGAGGTCTAATACGATGTTACAATACCAGCGTAAAATTTTTTTGTGTAAAATGGATGACTGTGATAAGTTAGGTTTTTAGATAAATCGGACAATATAAGACATGAACTAGACAATGAAGATTCTCTGTCTGAAATTGATAGTGTTCATTCAAGTGACATTGGTTTGGAAGTAGTTGAAGAGTTAGAAGAAGAATTACAAACTGAGTTGGAAATTTAACTAGAATGTCTAAAAAGAGATAAAAATTATTCATTTTTAGAGGATAATTTAAATGTAGAAGATTATTTTAGTGAAAATGAGATACAACACGTTGAAGAAAATCATTCGAACAAATCAATGATCCAGATCTAAGTAAAAATGACAGCTGTTGGAAGAAAGTGGTTTGAGAGAATGGTGTAACAGTGACGTTAAGTTTTGATTTGAATTTGTTTATGTTAATGAAAGTGGCTTTTCATACTAGATAACCTGTTGCTCAAAATTGAGCAAAACTGCAACTTTTATAAAATAATTGAAGAGCAAAAAACATAAACAGCAAAACCTAAATCATAGAGTCACTCTAAAGTAATTTCTACGACTAAGAAATGTTAAAAAAATTATGATGAAAAAATTATAAAAGTAATCTACGGTACAATATTTAAATCTATAGATCCTTTCTCATAATGCTTTGGTTATCTCTTATGTAGGCTACTGCAGGCGGGTGCCCTCTACCAGAACGTAGATGTCAAACACACACTGTAAAGTGAGCTTTACAGACCTAATGCAGCAATCTTAATCCTTCTCTTGACGCCAACCAGTACGAACATTTTTTAGCATTGTTAAATTATTTGTACGATATGTTCAGTTTTAGGCGTGTTTAAATTAGGTGCCCCAACCAAAGTCTCCGGTTGGGAACGTAAGAGTGGATTTAATGACGTATCTAGAACGGATTCACGTTTAACACCATTAGTTTTTGAAAACAAAATAAAAACAAAGATTTATTTGGCCAGGTTTTCAGGTGCTCTGTTTTCAGCCTTAAAAAAGCTGCGACATCTATACAGGTACGGTAGCGTCATTGTAGCGAGGGAAGTCACTTTTTTTGTCTCTTACTATGCACATAAGATCTGTGCATATACAGGATCATGATCTTCTTGAGGAATTATATTACCTACTCGGTGGTAAAACTTGTCATGGATCTTGAAAATTGTAGATCCTCTGTGTGACCCTCTTGTCAAAATGAGCTTCAGAGCTGACCATGGCGAAGGCGGAATTGAATTGACGAATTTTATCCAGATAATTTCTGGATCCAAGCCTCACAGCCCGATTTTCAGATTGGGAGTTTCCAATAAGTTCCTGAAAGTATGGTGAATTCCGCAAATGAGGTAAACGAACCTTTTGCCTTTCATTTATGGCAACAAAGAGTACAAATTGAATTGTCTCGGCCAGTCTTTTCTTGCTTAAAATGTTTAGCCACAACAATGTAAACATTTAACGTTCATTTGTCCGAGATTGGATGTATATCACCACGGCGGTACTGCCACTCTGTATCCGTCAAATTGGTAGGTTGATGCAAGCGGTCACGTTTGTGTTCCCTCCAGCAACTCAAAGTTCTTCATCTTACTGGTGGCATTTAATTTTAAATTTTGATAATATACGAAAGTTAACCAATCAACAGAAAACACTGCAAAGGAATGTGGATACACATTGTAAATATAACATGATTATATGGTAATGGAACGGGTAACTGCACTGTGAATAATCACTTTCAAACATTCACTTAATCATACCAAACTGTAACCAAAACTACGGTACATGATAATTCAGTAAAATACGATGTAAGGTAAATCAATTCAACTATAAACTATTTGTTCTCAGGTTTTGCTAGGAAACTCTTTATTTATGAACCAGACTTTAGTTAAAAGATGTTTAAATAAAAATATAAAATTACGGCTTTGCCCTGGAAGTAGGAAGTCCTGCATTCTGTGGCTAAACTTAAAAACTATTTCAAACTACATCCATATGTTTAATTGTAAACAAAGGGAATTGAGTTTGATGGTTTGATATGTCAACAGATAGCGCCACCGTTCCCAAACTTTAGCCCTGAACTGTAGGTACTTAAGTGACGCTCTTTCATAATATTCTGAGACGTATTTGCACATCTACGTGAAAATACCTTTAATTTGGCACCTCAAACGTTAAAATCCGTCAAGCCGTTATCGAGTTATGACTGTGAAAAGAAAACTGCTTTCGTATTAATATAGGCCTATAGATACGGTAATAAGTTATATAAAAAATAACTCAAAATACTACCACGCTTAAGTTTTGCCACGTCACATGTTTAACATTCAGAAAAAAACACGGCTTAATTTTTTTTATAGCCTACATCAAACACAAGATTACTTAATTATCCAATAATTTGTGATGAAACCCCTTTGGAATGCCTAAACTTTAACGTATTTACAATTTTGTTCAAAAAATAAATAATACAAAATTTAAAAAAACAGCTCCCAATTACCTCCGGATAGTGATGTAAAATACCCGGGTATTTAAAACTCGGGGTAAATACCCTGGGTATTTACCCGGGTAAATACCCAAAATCCATAAATACCCGGGTATTTCGGGTATTTATGAAACGATTGAAATTCATTTATATTTACCCCTAAATATGTTTCTATAACACATTTTACAGTAACTTGAAGCTTTACTAAGTTAAGTACCTTTTACTTAATGATTGAGCACTTTTTTTAAATAGGCCTAATACATATAGATTCTAAATAAGCATGGGGTTTCGTGTCTTAAATCGAGTACAGTAGAACCCCTCATATCCGGCCTTGGTTTTACCGGTCCTCTGTTTATCCGGCCCCTTCCAGGAAGCCAATATCAAAATTTTTTTCTCACACCTTACAGACGTTTAGATACAAGCACTAGTCTTTGTGACTGCTCAAGTCATAAAATAAATTGTTCTCATTATTTATCTGTTTGTATATACATTTATTTGCTGAGTCACTATACTCAGTTGAGCTAGTAGGCCTAACCTCTGATCAGTTGGCTGATTATTTCCAAAGTGGGTTTAGTACAGTACAATACGAGTAAATTAATTTTTGTATTTCACAAAATGGTTAAGAATGTTGAGTAGAAATGCAAACACCATTTAAGTCCTAATGATCTTTAAGTACAATTTATTGTCATTTTTACCTCCATTTAATATGTTTCGTTACCTGGAATCATAATATTTGTACATTCATTTACTTACAGTAATGACTTTAACCTACAAATATTTTTTTTCCTTTTTACAGACATGTTTATTTTTCTAAAAATGATCCCAGAACAGAATTAAATGATACTTTTGATTGCATATATTGATTACCTATTATTATTAGGTATGAATTGTCATTTTCATAGTAGGTTGGTTTATCCGGCCAAATCGTTATCCGGCCAGGGGCTTGGTCCCGTGGTGGCCGGATATGAGGGGTTCTATTTAAATTTAAATTAACTTTTAGTTAAATTTACCTAGTTAAATTTAACTTAAAAAATAGTAAATTAAAAAAAAGACTTTGGCTATTTCAATTTTTATCATTTTATAAATTTATAACCAATTAAATAACATAAACAAAATTATTTTAACTTTTAAATATCCAGGAATTGTTGGGCATTTATGATGAAATTTTTTTTATTGTAGGCCTATAGCCTAAATGGCTTGGAAGGCTAGACAGACCTAAGGCCTGATTGACATAGGCAGGATGGCAGAATAATAAAAGTAATTAAACTTTTCTGTGTTACCGCTTGGTTAGAAACAATATTTGGATAAACCTACTAGAAAAATGTATCTCCTGTTTTTTGGTCTAACTTAATAAAATTTTTAAGATCTACTGTGCTATAGATTCAAATGTTTTGTATCACAAGTTTATGAAATTAGTTTTTTTTCATACCATTGATACCAACAAAAGATCTAGAACAAAAATATTATTAAATCCTGCCATCCCACAGATTGAATTTTAATTATTTTCTTCAGTTGTTTACACATAGGCCACTAGGTTAAATTTTCCTGTCTTTCTAAATAATAATTATTACTTTGCAAATTATTTATTTTCACTTTCAATAAAATGAATTCGTCTATCTATCATAGAAATTGAAAAATTCATAAGTAGTCAGGACCAGTGCAACCATGCGACCAGGGTATTTATGCTGATTATGCTTTATGCTCAGACCTGGGTATTTATGGTGATTATACCCAGAAGTAAAATGCTAGTAGTGACCACATGAAATTTTGTTTAGCACATTTTATCATCATTTGACTATCCATACAGGGTAATAATTGCAAAAAAACATCTCAATCTTCTCTAACTTTAATAAAAATTATAAATACCCAGTTTTTGGGTATTTACCCGGGCCTGGGGTAAATACCCGGGTAAAAGCCCAATTTATATTTACCTACCCACTGGGTATTTACCCGGCCCACATCACTACCTCCGGGTCCCAATTTCCCCACTCTACCCTACCTACCGGTATTTTACTGATATGATTAAGATCCAGAGGTGGATATAACCTAATTAACGATTACTTTTATTGGAATCTTGGGAATGGCTTAGGAAGGTTTAAAATAAAAGTCCAGAAACTTCAGATTTACCGAAGTGAAGTTAACTTAGGCCTATCAGTAATTTGTAAGCAATTGAGAACGGCTTAACATGATGGTAGGACGAGCGTAACAGCTCCTGAATATTAAAATACGGTAGCCTAGCCGGAAATTATCCAAATTATAAAGGAAAAATGTAGCCTAGGCCTATCTGATTAGGCTAATAAGTTAACCCTCCAAGTGTCCAAGGTAATGGTATTAATGTCCGCCCATTTATTGCGCAATCACAGGGTTTTTATTAAAATGTAAGTACTTAGCCTATCTTAAAAATTAAAAAACAATGTAAAAAAACTTTCAACAATTTTTATGGGGTTAACATTTCTCAAAAATTATAAAATAGATGAAAAATTTTAGGCTAATATGTTTGCGCTCAATAATTTTGTATAGGCTAAAGTAGGCTAATTTATAAGTCTACAAATATTTTAAAATAGATAAGTTAGCCACTTTGTTCTAAATGTTATAAGGATTACAAAAATGTGATAATTTAAGGAAGTAAATTTGCAAATAAATAAGTTATGGGTGAAAAACAGATTTCGTACATTAAGCGTCAGCTAAGAATGCATAGCCTAACCATAGCAAGGAATCTGGCAGATAATTTACATCAATATCACTACCTACTTCTTCAGGATCATCAACCAGCCCTTCAAAATCACTTAACCCTCCGAGTGTCATGCGTCGCTGCAGCGACTCACAAACACTGTTTACGGCAAAGGCTCTATGACTGACTGAATCGGATTGAACTGGATCAAGTTAGGTATCGTTCTTTTCCTTAAAATTTAAGCTTTCTCCATAGGTCTGTCTCAGCGCTGTATGTTCTCTGAGCCGATCGTAATTGTAGCAGACAGCTGACGTGCCTAATTGTAAACAGGTTAGTTAACCTCGGACCGATGACTGATGTGTTTTATTACGTTTATCATTGTTTTAGTGTTAAAAATAAAAAGTAGTGATATACGTGGTGCATTATAAGAAGATTTAAGTGATTTTGAAGGGCTTGTTGATGATCCTGAAGAAGTAGGTAGTGATATTGATGTAAATTATCAGCCAGATTCCTAGCTATGGTTAGGCTATGCATTCTTAGCTAAACGCAATGTACTGAAATCTGTTTTTCACTCATAACTTATTTATTTGATAACTTACCTCACTATATGACTATATATTTGTAATCCTCATAAAATTTAGAACAAAGTGGCTATTTTCAAATATTTATAGGCCTATAAATTTATACAATTTCATTGAGCGCAAACTTATTTTTTTTTTGAAAATTTTCCAAAATATTTTTTTTTTTTTCACCTAAAAAATTTTTTTTTAACAAATGTTCCTTATGTTTTATATATAATATTGAAGCCCATGATTTTCCAAACAAAATGGTATATAGAACAGTATAATTAACATTGTTTTTAAGCTACTCAGATCCGTTTTAATAAAACCTTGCAAATGAGCTAAAAATAGGCAGACATTAAGGCCAAAACAAGGGACACTCGGAGGGTTAAATCTTCTTATAATGCACCACGTATAAGTTATCAATACCTACTTTTTAATTTCTAACACTAAAACAATGATAAACGTAATAAAACACATCAGTCATCAGTGCGAGGTTAACCTTGTTTACAAATGCGCACGTCAGCTGTCTGCTACAATATTTTCGGAACTAAAATGAAAAGCGTCTAGAAACAGACATCAGGAGAAAGCTTAGAATCTGCCGAAAACAACGATAGGTACCAATCTCGATCCAGTTCAATCTGATTCAGTCAGTCCCAGAGCCTTCGCTGTAAATGATGTGTGTGTGTCGCAAAAGCGACGCATAACACCACGGCAGGTATGTTGTGCGTCAATTACGCGACGCTTAACACTCGGAGGGTTGATGCGACCGGTCGCGTTATAAAATAGGCCTAGGTGTGACAGACAGAGGGTTAAGTAATAGTAAGTTAGGCCTACCCTGAGAGTAGGCTAGCTTAAGACACTACCACTACAGTACCTAGGCCTAACTGAGGCCTAGGCCTACACTTAGGTAACTAAAACACAATGGCCTAGGCCTAGGCCCCTACCTAAACTTGGTAAAAAAGGGCTAGGCCTAGTTGGAATTTAAGAATCTTTAAGAATTACCGGTATTGTAAAATTGATTGAGGCCAGATTAAAAATTTAAGAAAGTTTAATATTCTGCCTACCTTCTGGTGCCGAAGAAACCGGGATGTCCTTTTCTGACATCTCAGGAGAAATGTGTTTAGAACAGTTGAAACACGATCACGCTTTCAATGGTAGACCTTTTTTATATTATATGAAAACTATGTGATCCTCTAGCTATTTTGATTTGAACAATTGATTGGCCTACTCTTTTTTGGGAGACATAAGTTAACTCGTTAACTGATTTTACCCAAATTCCAAAGAAACACTAGTCGCACTGCACTAGCAGCACTACCTAACTAACTAAACAAACGTAAACTAGTACAGTACGGTACTGAGAAACGGAGAAACAAACGAACGCTCAAGCTCAAGGCTCAACTCCTCACTCACTGGAACACTGGAACTGGAACTGCGAGTCTGCGAAGCGAACTGAACTAGAACCAGTGTTCCCAGATTGGCCGTAGTCAAATATCGTACACGCGGTCCTAAATTATCGTATTTCACGAAAAATTATCGTACAATTTTAAATAACAATCGTAACTGGCTTGAGTATTGAAATACCTAATAGACTTATATATTTTTTTATTATAAATCTCAAAATCGCCATAAAACCATATTATTTTTAGTTTTGCACGTTGTAATCATAGTAGGTAACTGATATTATGTGAATATTTCTCAACCTCAACACAAACACTACCTACACCAGTATTTTCCTTCCACCATGCACTCACGGCCACCTTTAACTACAGGCCGCGGCCTGGTAGAATTGGCATCTCCACAAGTGGTATGTTGTTCAGTGACAGACGTCCCATAAGATAACATGGCAGACAGGTGATATCAGCTCATTAATTCGCACTTTATTGATTTCAATTTAAATTTATAAACATAAATTTATTAAAATATTGAAAAAAAGACATACAGAATTGAAAACCGAAACAATATGAATTAAAAATCTATTATGTACATTTTAAGCGGAGTCAATATTGTCATAGTCCAGTAACCAATATTTCGTTAATACACAAATACCATTAGCTGCTTCACTTCCAAACAAAACAGCTGTTACAACACCTCTTGTGATGTTGCCACTTTGAAGGCCGAGGCCTGGAGTTAAAGGCGGCCGTGCGTGCACCCGTGCACCATCGATCTCTAAAATAGAGATCGATGGCGTGTATAATTCGCCAAATGGGCGAGATTATGTACGGAAGGTCTGTTCTTATGGTAACAGACTTTCTCGTGGTGTAGGAGAAGCAGAAGAAGCGAAGCGAAGCAGAAGCATTCAAGCAGTTTAGAAGCACATTTCATGGAAATGGTTTCGTTTTAATTTTATTCATACTAACAGTTAACTTATAGTTTTCATAAGATTGATTTTTTATGTATTGATTTTTATATCCCATCTCTAATAAATACTGAGTTTTGATTTAAAACAGCAAAAATGTTTCCAAATTTTTGGGTATAACCTCCCAAACCAATTTTGTAAAAGAGTACTATTCAATTGCCCAAATTATCGTACAAATAGCATTATCGTACGGTGACGTATCGTACATCGTACGGGAGGCTAAATTATCGTACAAAACGATAATTATCGTACGTCTGAGAACACTGACTAGAACTAGTGATGTGCGAGTGCGATACGTATCGTATCGTATCGGAATATCGCGATACGCGAGGGACGATACGATATTACGATACGATATTTAAAAAACGATACGTATCGTATCGCCTAAAACGATATTTGTATTTATATCGGCACATAGAGCGATACGATTCATGTCAAAACGATATTTTAAAGCTTTTTTTGCGCAGGCCGAGCAAACTGCAAAATCTGTACTCTGTGGATGTGTAGTTTGAAATAGGAGTTTGTGACGTCTATATTTTGGTCTATATTACTCATTCGATTGTTTTTTCGATTCGATAGTTTCATTCGATTGTTTCATTCGATATATCGTTTGGTTAGTTAGGTTAGGTTAACCTTACCTAACTAACCAAACGATATATCGAATTAAACAATCGATTAATCGATATATCGATCGATATTTTCATTCGAATGAGTGTAGGACGTCAAGTAAAGTGCAGCCTATATTTTTGGTTTTTACTTGATAATGTACCAGTCCCATACCAGTCTAGTCTCCTTCAGTCCATTTTCACTAGTGTTCTATCTAGCGTCTAGATATTTTTGTTTTTTACTTGATAATGATAATGTACCAGTCCCATCCCCGTCCAGTCTCCTCCAGTCCATTTCCACTAGCGTTCTATCTAGCCTAGCAGTGCAGTGCAGAGTGTGGGAACTGTCAACTGTCTGTGGCAATTACATTACATTAATGTATCTGAAATCCTAAAATGCTATGGGAAGGAAAGGGAAACAGGTCCAAGACGTAGGGAGTTATGAAGGAAGTAGTACGGGCGAGCAGTGTGGAGTAGTGTGGGAATGGATTAATGCATCTGCAATGCAATACTAAGACTGTTTTCAGAATAAACTAACTTAATTATTTTCCCCGAGCAAAGCTCGGTCCCCAGGTACTTGTTTGCCGTTTCTAGGTTAGGTAGGGGGGGGGGGAACGATACGATACGTATCGTTTTTCGATATTTTTCGCGTATCGTGATACAGACGCCCGATTCGATACGGCGATACGATATTTTTTCCGATACGTATCGTATCGCGATACGCGTCCGTATCGCCCATCACTAAACTGAACTCAACTCCACTAGTCCACTGTCTCCACTCCACTATACGAGTCGCAGTCAGATTGGCACCATGGTGTTTTAGCACCCGGCGTCACATCGGAACCTCGTTGACATGAGGCCATGAAATATCACCCCACGTCAGCTTGGCACCACGACAGATTGGCACCACCCTTTTCTAGAGGTTCCAATCTGGTGTACTGTTACGACTGATTGGCACCTCCGCGGCCACCGTCAGCTTGGCACCGCGACAGATTGGCACCACCCCTTTCTTGAATGAGGTTTAAAAATACAACAACGCAGTTTTCTGCATGCAATATTGAGTGGAGCTGGAATATTAATCCAATCCTTCTCTAAAGTCAATCAATACTACACCTGTTCCTCGTGAATGAGATTTAACTACTTGCAGTATTCAAGTAGAGACGGTAAAATGTACAAAAAAGATAGTAAGTGGTAACCATTTACCATATTTTTTTGTGTATTTGCCGTCTTGTAACAGTATAAGCGTAAATATATATTTTTAATGTTATAAGACGTTTCTTTTATTTACTTTCCATCTAATTAACGTACATTATAAATTAAACGTTTTATTTTAATTTTAACTAAATCATAATATACAAAAATAAAATAAAACGTTAAAATGTAGTTCTTTAATTTAAAGTCAATCACTTCAACAGTCATTCTATCGATTCTTGTGTAAACCATATTATTAATACTACAAAGGGCAAACGTATCAAACTGTTACGACTTCCCGAAAGATTAGTCAAATTTTAAGTTGATTCTAAAAATATTTTAAGTTTTGGAACGGTCAGAGTGAGGCAGAGAGTCTGTCAACTATCACTTTGGCTGCCTTTTTTGAGTATTTCCAAGAAGTGCATGGTATCAATTTATAGGAAAATGATTTATTAAAAATGATTTGTCAGTGTGCTTTGGGTAACTTACTTCAAATAGGATGACGTAATTAGAATTGAGTAAATAAAACTAATTTCCATATCCAAGATATAATCCAGATATTTTGTTTTCTGATTAAGCGATAATTATTGACGATTTGTTGTTTAATTAGAACTACTGGAATTAATCACAAGTAAAAGAATCTAAAAAATCTTATTTACGTTTTCGTCAAGTAATACATAAGATAAATTAATGATGATGCTTGATGACAACTACTGTATGTGCTTGCATCGCTATGTTACGACCAAAATTATAAAAATCGGTCGGGTAGAAGAGCCAAACTAACTCGAAAAAACTAGGTGGCGTTCGCAGAAGCATCCACAAAACATACAAAATTGAGCGGAGTCATCAATGGTTCATATTATATTGTTTTTGTCATACTGCAGTGAAAACAGTCGTCATTGATGCATGCGTTGCGGGTATAAAGTAGCATTTTTACTCTTTAGGGAATGACGAGAGATAATTTCAATATAAATAGTAAAATACTAGATGTTGTAATTTATTTCTTTTAACAGTTCTTAAAACCTTTAGTTTTTTTTTAGTACAATATAATTTGTTTTAACTTAACAGCTGGTTAAATATAAAAAATATGTGTCAATAGGGTCAATCGCACCTTTAGGTGGAATACCAACACATAAACTTACATTAATTGTATTTTTTATGTTGATCAGTAACAAATCTAGGGTTAAGTTTGGTCAATTGGATGCCTTTAGTTTACACTAATTTTGTTAAACCTTTACAAAAGGAGTATACACTTAGAAATAATAACCGGGTCGGGATGCTTTAGTGGTTTTTACCAAGAACTAAGCTTACCTCAACACACCTTTATTTGCCTTTTCATATTTGACGAAGACAATTTCAAAATTTTAATCAGGGAAGCCTATTTATGACCATTAACCACAAGACCAAACACCAAAGCTACCTTAGTAAACCAGTATTTATTCACAAACAATTATATGTTTGCTGCATTATAGAGTTAAACCTCTGGAGTGAATAAATTATTTATTGAAAATAACGTCAACAGAAGCAAACGAATATAAACAAAAAACTTGTTTACACAAAAGATATCGTGTACAGGGATATTTATTCTGACACATAGAAAATATAATTCTTACAAAAATTTGTTTTACATTTGAGCGCTTTAAGGACTTATGCATGTGGTTTAAGTTTATGCATATTGTAATATGTAATATGTACTGTAATATGTGTACTTTTTTATAAACCTGAATGATCAGTTCAATGATCAGTATGGAAGATAATTAAAAGTTCAACGCGAAATGCTGGAAGACCAAATTACAATTTTTTTACCTCGAAGTACTATGTAACCTTTCCCGGGAGGCAGCAGGTGTTCAAATAGTTTCAACCCTAGGTATTCCTGAACGGACCTGATGGCATTTCCGTTCTTCCTAGGATTGTTGTTGATGGGTTTATGAAAGTATTCTAATATGTAATATAACATATATTAACCGCGACAGATTGGCACCACCCCTTTCTCGAGGTTCCAATCTGTCGTATACTGTTACGACTGATTGGCACCTCTGCGGCCGCCGTCAGCTTGTCACCACTCATTTCTCGAGGTTCCAATCTGTCGTGTACTGTTACGACTGATTGGCACCTCTGCGGCAGCCGTCAGCTTGGCACCACGATAGATTGGCACCACCCCTTTCTCCAGGTTCCAATCTGTCGTGTACTGTTACGACTGATTGGCACCTCTAGGAGCGGTGCCAATCTGTC